TGGTATTTTCGAATTCGATAATGTCAGGTTTTCTTTTACTTCGAAAAATAGCTTAACAGCGGTAGTGAAATGCAAAAGGACTTAGACAACTTCGCTCGCTTAAGCCCACGTGTGGGGGTGGGGGTATTCAGGTTTTCCTGTCACTGGGATGATCGAAGAATCTGGAGGGGGGGGTAGGGTGGGGTTGAAATGTTCCATTTTGGGATTTTGGGAGCTTGATTTAAGATTGGTGATAGTTCCCACGTATCCTGGATTTGTAAGTTCGCGCGAATAAAGTAAAACCAAACTTGTGTCTCGAGCATTGTTACAATGACCACCAGATACGAGAAAGGTTCTTACTCCAGATGGTGTGATGAATAAATGACAAAAACCTTTCATAATTTAGAATGTTTCTATTTTTTTGTGTTATATCATTTAATCATTGGGATTTTTGGGGGGTTAAATTTTTGGTTTAGGGATTTTTTGGGGTTTTGATTTTTTCCCCCATTCGATCATCCCTGTCATAAAATCCGGAGCACCCCCGCTCCTTCCCTAGACGCGTATCACGTTCAAATTTAGAAACACTACTAATATTAAGGCGCTCTTTTGAGTGGTATCTACGGATTTTCCCTAACTTGTCCATGTCCAAAGTTAACGCTAATACAAAGGCAAACGTCCAGGGAAGCAAAAACTCGCAGATCAAAATGCATGCTTGAAGTGGCATTACTCAACTGTGAGATTATGGAGAAACAGCTGCAGTGCTGATTGAGGATGGGGCATTCGTCCTTTTTTCGTCCCCACTGGGGGCATTTGGCAGCTCAAGTGTCCCCATCCAAGGTGAAGGCAACAACAACAAAAAAATTCTAATGCCCGCGAGGCATCAAAGTAGAGCATACTCCTTCGGCATTTCAGATTTTTATTTAGATATTTGTCTTGGTACAACCCAAATATATTGCCTTTTCATCTTGAACACCGTAAGACGACCTTAGCCTATGTACAGACTCCCCCTCCTATCAGGAGAAGTTTTTTCCCGCGAGGAGGGGGTCTGTACACAGACTACTGCAACTTTGGCCAGCGGGAGTTACCATTGGCAACCTAGACAAAATGGCGGACGAAAGATAAACTCAAATTTTGTCAATTATAAAATAATCAAATTTTCTTCGCTAAAATGTATGCGGCACCCTGTAGTCCGTCTTCCTCCATCTTTAGCGAGATGCTCGAACTAAATGCAACGAGAGTTAGTAGCAAAAGAGACTATTCGGAAGAGGAGCAGTTGTCAATAGGAAGTTACGATGCTGCGAAGAGTTCGCCCGTGTTTTTTGGCCGTTATGGGCATAAACTCTCCGAATCTGTCGCTGAAATTCGTGAAGGGGATGATGGTGCATCAACGAGATCTTCCATGTTTCCAGAGTTCGATCCTTCTTTTAGCCATCCAGCGGCCTTTGGTTATGTTTTACTGGACAGGAAACCGGTTCCACCAAAGCAAGAATCGCCTCCTTTACCTGACCCGAGAGAGAGTAAGACAAGAAAGCTAAAATATATCTTTTATAACATAGGTGTTCGACGTCATTATTCATCGCCACCAGGTACAATAGAAGCAGGAGCCGAACATGGACAAATATCCACTAATTCGATTCGTTTTAATACACAGTCCTTTACTCCTTTCTCTATTGAAACCTTCTGACATGCATGATTCCTAAATCTTGCGACCACTGTAGAGAGGCTGTCTAATAGCTACAGGAGGAAGATTGTGAAAAAGCCTTAAGCGAACGGATCTTAGATCAAAACAAAAATAACGGAAGAATGTCGTATTTAAATTTATCGGTGCTAAAACTAACAGAAAAGAGGTTATATGGAAGCCAGTTGTTTTCCAAATACAGAAAATCGTACATTCTGGTTTATCATTCTTAAAATACTGCGCACAGTATTTTTTGAGGTAGACCCAAACGTTCTTAAATTTCCTCCAATAATTTCTGTTCCATTTGATTCTGCTTACCTGACTTTTCTGTTGACTGTTTTGCTTTTAGAATTTTTCCAGTTCTTGGATGTTTAGGAAGCGTTTCCCAGGAAATTTCTGCTCCATTTACTCTGGCTTTAAAAGTTCAAAAATTTTACTTTTCAACTGAATGTTCCACCTATTATTTGTTTGACAGCTACTTCTAAGAATTGCTTATAACCTGGATGTAAATTGTTTTTCACCCTTTTTTCAGTCAAAACAGTGCAATGAAAATCCTTCATTGATGGTTGCATTAGCTTTCCTTTTTCAGTTGCACTAATCTTTTGTTGCTCGACTTTTGACTCTTGCGAGTTGAAAGAGAGATGGAGCTTGCCTGCAGGCTGACAGTACACCAAAAGCGTTTCATGGACATACGTGTAATTACTGGGCAGCTTGAAAGAGTTTCCCCGTCTCGTATATTTTAATATTTTACTTATCCAGCTTATTTTAATTATTTTAAAACAGAAATTATACATTAGTGAGCAATAAAAGCAAAATGTAAGATTGTGCTTTCTGCTCTGTCAACAAGTATCAAAAGTATAAAGAATCTCAATGTATTTTTATTAACATTTTTGTTTTGTTTTCTTTTGATAACAGGTAGTCCAAGAGAATATCTTGAGGCTTACCTGTTTCCAGTTCTTTTACCAGCAATTGAGCAAATGCTGAAGGCTGCTAAAGAAAACAAAGTGTTTGAGGTTTGTCTGTTACACTGGAATTACTGTTACTGTTAAGGCCGGGTCATGTCAAAGCAGCTGGAGAGTGAATCAATGTTGTCCTAGTGTGTGCTTGCACAAAGCATAGAAGAGCCAATATCAGCTGAGAATGCAGCACACTTTTATGTGTGAACCCACATAAAAGGGAAATATAGTAACAGACAAATTACCATTTGGTTAGTTTCTAGTAAGAGAACTGGGGTACCATAATCCTGTGCACTCAACTATTTATAATAATTGGGGTAAATCCATTGAAAAAATGAGAGTGGGCATTATTATTTAATTAGGAGGTAGGAGATCTTTTGGCTTTTTCACCTGCTCTCACTTTGCACAGTAGATCTATCCATGATGCCCAACAGAATTTGTGCTGAGGATTTAAGAGCTGTGGCCCTGCAGTGGCGGTAGAGCAAAGTTACCCATTTTTGAAATGTTAACCCAACTGATTACAAAATCCACTAGCCCTGGGCTATCGGACACGACTTTCTTTGCACGCTGTTAAGTCAGTAGATTTTAACTTTTCCAATCAAATTGTAGAATTGCCAGTCCACAGTGGACTGCACTGCATTATTTTGATTGAAAGATAGTTTTACACTGAAAGCACTTAAATATAACATTTAAAATTCTGAGAGTCTTGTTTTTTTGGAATTCTCTTTGACCTCTTCTAAGTCATTCCAGCCATCTGCCATCATCCATCACACGTTGTCATTAAATGCATATATACATGCATCTTAATAATGTGTCCACCTGTTTTTCCACTATAGAGAAGAAGAACAAAATTCAATGCGTGTGACTTCCTTACAGAGTACTTATTCAGGTTTGTTATCACTTTTAGAGTTTTTAAATACCATCACTGTGAAATCTTGTAACAGGACAAAGGAAATTGTTTTGGTAAAATAAATGATTTTAATATGTAGGTGTTGGAATTCTCATTTCTCCTTCTCCTTGCAATATTAGATGACACATCATCAAACAGCACTAATCTATGGAACATATTGGTTTACATTAGTTATTCTCTTCTCAGAAATAACCCCAGATACAAGGATAGAACAAATGTGGTGCTTGAAGACATTCCTTTTGTGCAAGCAATACTTGCGGAAAAGTAAGTTCTCTGAAGTGACTGTAAGTACTTATGTCCAGAAATTGTGGTAGACTTGTTTTTAATTGATCGGTTTATTCATGCTCATTTCAAATAAACCGGGAAAATATTCTTACATTCAAAACTCTTTACAACAGCCACTTGGGGGAGAGGGGTAAGTGGCCATTGCAGAGAGGTCAGAAGGAGTGGGGAAGGGTAAAATACTAAAAGAAAAATATTCTTCTGATAGTTGGTATTAATGTGCAACACAATCAAAATGTGTCAGTAAAACAAACACCAAGTGCTACTAGCAAGACCAGTCTGTTCCAGGCTCCAAGATAGTAATATGTGCAGAGATCTTGAGAAGTCAGGGTGCAAAGAAAATCATTTTTACAGCTTGTCATCTGGGCAAGCTGAAGCTAGCATTTACTAGTGCAGACATCATTTCAGCTAGCCCCAAAATCTTTTTGACTGGTAGAATTGATTTCACAGTTCTTCTGTTATTTGAATTCCTCAAAAAACATCACTTGCCCATCGGGCAAGTTAAAAACAGAATTCACTAGCCCAATAGCAAAAATCCATTAGTGCAGGGCTATCGGACACTACTTCTTTGCACGCTGAAAGTGGTGCAAAAAATGCACAGAGGATCCCTGGGGAGAGAGCCACTGCCTTCTTCCCTCAGATCATGTGCATGTTATTTTTGCTTAGCTTGTTTTTGTAATGTCCCCCCGGCTACCGTCTGATAATCTGGAACAGGCTATAACAAAAAAAATGTCACCAAAACAAAGTGAGTAATGTATAGTGTGTGCATCAGTTTCTACATCATTTCCTGTTAAATGACCATTTTCGAGATGTGGCCTCTAAGGCGGATATTTCCTGGCCCCAGTTGTTCAAAAAGTGGATAGTGCTATCCACGAGATAAATCTGTACAGATAGTGCAGTTGGCTTTCCCTAATACTTATTTACTAGGTAGTGATTTATCTGATGGATTGCGCTATCCAGCTTTTGAATAACTGGGGCCAGGATGGCAAATTAATGCTCTGTATAAATAGAAATCACTAAGTTTCCCTAGCCCTTATCCTCACTTAAACGCAAGTCATATAGAAATATGAAATATTTATGTCTGATTTGATATTCCGAGTTTTCTTGCATGGTTGGACATAAGTGTACTAACTACTAAGGAAAGGTTGATATAAGAGGAAATGTGTGGACATTTGTGGGCTTTTATGGGAAGGTTTGCCATTCAGTGGAGGTTCATATTGTAATTATAAAAAAATGGTACTTACACCTGAACAAAAAATATCTTTGTTAGTAAAATCGATCTTTACTGAATGTTTATTATTTCCTGTTTTAGTCCTCGTCCCCCACTGCCACTCTCATTGTTACTGAGCGATGAAGAAGCAGCTATCATCATTCAGTCATTTTACAGAGGCTATCTGGTATGTGATTAACTGGCAGGTTAACAAAGTTGATTCAAGTTGGATTTCTTTTTTGCTAGTAAATGTCTTTTCTTCCCCCATGGAGAATTTTTAACTTCATATTTTGGTGAAAAGGTCTCTTGTTGATTACAGATGCGAAAACATACTCTTGCACTAGTGACAGGTCTAGGGTGAGGTCGGAGAGGTCCAGACCCCTTAAGATCTAGATAATTTTGGGGTACTCACATTTATGGCAAACAGCAAACTTTAGATTAAGGTTGCAGCAACTGAAACATATACAGGGTGCAAAGAAAGTCAGTTTTACAGCCTGCCATTCGGGCAAGCTGTAGCTAGCATGTACATGTACTAGCCCACAAGTCATTTCAACTAACCCCAAACCCTTTTTGATTAGCAGGATTGATTACCATCCTTCTGTAATTTGAATTTCCCCAAAAAATTAGCTTGCCCGTCGGACAAGTTAAGAACAGAATTCACTAGTCCGAAAGGAAAATCCACTAGCCCCGGGCTGTCGGACACGACTTTCTTTGCATGCTGCTTGGTAACTAGCTTCTGGCTGGGAGGATTAATTACCTTGTCCCAGACCCTGTCCGACAGAATGGGCAACCTGCTTCAGTGGGTTGCCTCAACTATCACATCAACGTGTTTAAAATCAATTGAGAGATTATACATAAACAGGAGGGTCTCCCTGCGCTCCTACCTGAGTTACCCCATCTCCATGTCAGGCCCTTTAAAATGCATTCTATGTACCCAAACCCGATCAAAATGTCGTCATTTTGATAACAGGTTCGCAAACAGCCTGAAGTTCAAGAATTAAGGGAATACCAGAGAGAAATGAGAAATGTAAGTGTATCTGTTTATATTTTTACACGCCCTAACCTTCGTGACAGGTGTTGGAAAGGGAGGGTGAAAGGGAAAATCACGTCCATCGCGTTTTTTCACGCCTCGTTTGCCGATTTCCCCCTCCCTTTTCAGCTCTGCCGTATTCGTTCAGTGTACAGTGCATTAGTAAATCCACATTTCGATTACTATAGAGGGGTGGGGATTTTTCTCTGAGTGGCCCGTCCACACGAATCTGAATATTTTGAAACCTAATGATATTTTTTTACACAAATCGGCCTTGCCTTCTGAAGTGAACCCGCTGACCAACAAAGCGGCTTTTTTAAACCTCGGTGGTTTAAGGCCCGGTCTAGGCGAATGCGTGTGCGAAAAAATGCGGTTTCAACAATGCGGGATTCGTATGGACTGGGTCTGAGAGCCCTTTCTTCAAAATTTGAAGGATCGTAACATTTCAAAAGTAGTACTGCGTGAAACTCGTCCACCAACGCCTAGTTACTACAGCAGTTATGATGTATGATATTCTAGATATGTGAGTAGTAACTTAAAACATGATTGTACATTCGCCTTTCCACATCCATGTACTGATGATCATTGTAAATGAAGTACACATTTTACGGCAGTAGAGCTCTGTGCGTTAGAACAGATGGCCGCTAGATATCACACGGTCGCCATTTCTCCTCTAAATCTAAACCTAAATATGGGTTTGTCGGCAACATCCACTAAGGACATCACGCCAACTCTAAAACACTAAAAATATACAAGGTGGTAATAGACGCTAAAACTGCAAATAGTCTTCTTGATGAATTTAAATCCCAGTTCAAAAGTCTCTCATGAGTTTTTAGTTTTCTTTCTACATGATTTTCTTGAAAATCAGGTTTTCTTATTATTTCTATTTTTACTATCTATTTAGTTTTTGTGTTCCCAGTCCTAAGATAATTACGATTACTGCTTTATAGAAACTGCCTTTTATGATTCTGGTATTGCAGGAAGCTGTCGACATTTTTCTTAAAGTTGAAGACTTCTGGAAGAAACACCCTGTTGAAGAAGCAGAGGAAGAAACGGAAAAGGCGATCACTTAGCGGCCGAAATAGTGCAATGTCATCTGAATATGGTGACATATTACAGCTATTTCAACGGCTGAGCAAATTTTTTAGAAAGAAATTTCAAAACCTCCATAAAATCTAAGCAAACCGTATTCCTTTTGACCAAAAAGTTCTTATTTTGTATATGCGCTGAATTTGGAATATTACAGTCTGCCTTTTTGTTCAAACTTAATTTTCTGTCCTAGTCTTGCAATCAGCAGCCTCTTTCTATTTTAGCCAAATTTTTATCTCACGAGAGATTATTCTTGTTAACCAATTTTTGTCTGTAGACAAGAAATGCCCAGTGTTCTAGAATCTGCCGGAATGTTTATGTTGTGGTTCAATTTTATCCTTGGTTAAATTCTATTCGTATCTTTACTGCATATGGCTATGTATGAAAACGAAGGTTAAAATAAAGGAAAAAGAATGAAAACAGGGATAAAATTAAATCACCACATTTATAATTCGCTTTTTATAGCCAGTCTTCTCGAGGTTTTGAGAATCTGTAGTGTTGAGGTTTTTGGAGGCGCATCGCTTTACACCATTTGATGCAATTACTTATTTACTGTATATAGATGAGCACTTAAAATTATGGTGTATAATATGTTTAATAAACAAAATTAGAAAAGAATGCAGTGGCAGCACTTTGTTGAACTTTGACCAGGTGCGCGTTAATTGTTAAGTCGACATATACTAGCGCGCAACATAAGCTATACTCTGCGGCAGGGGTTTTAAAGAGAAGTGGTGAGAAAGCTGAACAAAAAAAAAACTGGCTCGTTTTTAAACATTTGTGCACAAAGAAAGGCATAACACATTCTCAGAGGTATGACTCAGCACTGACTTGGGAATGTTCTAGACACATGTAACCTTAACTGTACTCAATCTTCACGTGGGTTTGCCACACCCCGTTTTGTTGCGTGCTTGGTTGCACTTCCAGGTTATCATTATTTTCACATGTAAACACAGGTCCTATCAATCTTCGGTAATGAAGCCCCATAAATGTCAATCGTGAAGTATCAGTGGTTGATCAAGTGTCATTCATCAGTCATCAACCTACCGTCCCTGTTTAAGTAACAATTCAACTAGGTCTGCAGGCTTCGAACCTTTCTGAAAACCGCAAAACCCGCAATAAGTATTCGAAAGCTTCCCATAAAAAAAAAGTGTTTATAAGCTATTGGAAGCTGCACAAACTGCTTCGAGGGCTCTCTACAGCTTCTCATATTGTAAAAGATAATATATATCGAAAAAATTGCGAGCAAATATTACTAATCGTTGCGGAGGTTTCACGGGAGTTAGGATGAATTTTAACCCAATGCCTGTAGGAACAGTCATTCCTCTGACCCCTCCCCCATATACTCTTGTTTGTTTGGCCGAATAGGCATTCCAGGTATATCGCGCCTGAGACACCTAAAAATAATCTTTAATTGTTAACTGGTGAAGTGCAGTGAGAAAAGCCGGACACTCTGCAGGCAGGTTAGTGTTGTGAAGCGTCTTGCCGCATTTGCTCGCAGATATTTGCAAACTCGCTTTCGATCGAGGTCGGATCGGCGCCGAGTGGGAGCAATTAAGATACAGAAAGAAGCCAACATCATTCTGTGTCCTCTTACTCTGTGATTTTCCACGTTGTCACCTTCCTATTGGGTCCTCACGTGGCTTTCTATATTAGACATTTTTTCCCGCAACCATTTTTATCATAGACTGAACTCAAATCACAAACTGTTAGTAAAGTGATTGTTTACTTTCAGTGGATGATCGAGCTAATTCATATTGTTGTATAAGATGATATTATTCCCTCGATTCCGGTGAGTTTGAGTGGCAGTGCTTCGCGGAGATCGTGACCAATCTAATGGTTTTTTTCTAATTTTTCAATTTTTTTTATGAGCGATTCTGAAACAATGTTTCTTGGCACTTTCGATTGTATAGTCGGTAGTTTAAAATTTTCATAATTTTGAACGAAGTGTTTTTTCTGCTGCTTTTACTCGTTACCATTACAAGCCGCAGGCTCGATTTTCGGGGGATTGCGACGTTCAGCGTCGCAATCTTCGCATATTTCTGAAGGGCGAGGCGCCAAGTCTATTGTTTTGAACCAAGGGTTATATTACATCAAGAGACCCTGAGCCTATCTTAAAGCTGTCAACAATGTTCGTTTTATTGAGCAATCTTTCATCTTCGAAACTTAATCCAGTTTATCTTAAGTGGACACCCAACCTAGTTGCTATTCACGTGCACTGTCGAAAGCATAATATCAAATAGACTTCAAAAATTCTCCATTGGAGCTTCACTCTTCGTCTTTAATTTTAGCCGACCCACTCAATAAACAATAAATAAGAACAATATTACCGAAAAATAATTACAACTGAGAACTTGATGAATAAACAATGAAAACAACAACTCAATTATCTCTCAGGGAGATCACCCGCCAAAGCGGATACACGCGAGGTTTGTTCGGTTTCAACATAGACGGAGGAAATTTTTACAACCCTAGTATAAATCTGGCCTAATTGTCCCATTTGATCGAAGAGATATTTACGCAAAAAAAAACTATCACAGTTCACAAATGATTTAGACATTATCTTAATATTTTACCTTAAACTGTCGAAATTAAAGTATTGCCGCCCGCGGACAAAACTAGCTTTTCTCCGGTTTCCGGTGTACATCAAACACAGGCATCACGCTGAATATTATCCAGACTGAGAGCCGTAGATCAGAAAAAAAATCACAATGACTAAATTTCGCTTTTGAAACCAACACCACTCGTCGTAAGATTGGGCGCATCGCATAAGAGCTAAAGACTTAAGAGGGAGAGAAAATAAAAATCTACTGAATTATATACACTAACAAAAACAAAATATGAACAAAAACAACAACTCTGTAACCACTAGCTAAAACACGATCGATTCAAGCTGTGACTTACTTTATACTTTGTCACAGCTTCTTAAGAATGGGCGCGCTGCCAGTAAGCCATTAGGAAGAGGAGAGAAAAATCTACCGAATTATACAAACTAAAGCAATGTAAAAAAAAGCTGCATTTACTAGCTAAAACACGATGGATTTTAGCTATGTACTATTCACTTTAAGAAAATCTCCCTTCACCTCTTAAACTTGGGCGCGCCGCCTGTAAGCCAAAAGGGAGAGGAGAGAATAATCTACTGATTTACCAAACTAACACAGCGTATAAAAACTGCAATTGGCTAGGTAGTAAAACATGATCGACTCAAACTACGAATGTTTCAATCTAAAAAAATCTCTCTTCACCTCTTAAACTTGGGCGCGCCGCCTGGAAGCTAAGGGGGAGAGGAAAGAGTAATCAAACTAACACAGCGTATGAAAACTGCAATTGGCTAGCTAGTACAACATGGTCTATTCAGGCTACGAGTTTTTTACCGTTGAAAAAAATCTCTCGTCACCTCTTAAACTTGGGCGCGCCGCCTGTAAGCTAAGAGGGAGAGGAGAGAAAAAATTACTGAATTATCCAAACTAACAACGCATGAAAACTGCAGTTGGCTAGCTAGCTAAAACATGACGATTCAATCTACGAGTTTTTTACCTTAAAAAATCTCTCTTCACCTCTTAAACTTGGGCGCGCCGCCTTTAAGCCAAGAGGGAGAGGAGAGAATAATCCACTAAATTATCAAAACTAACATAGCGCATGAAAACTGCAATTGGCTAGCTAGTAAAACATGATTGATTCAAGCTACGAGTTTTTTACTCTTGAAAAAAATCTCTCTTCACCTCTTAAACTTGGGCGCACCGCCTGTAAGGTAAGAGGGAGAGGAGAGAATAACCTACTGAATTATCCGAACTAACACAGGGTATAAAAACCGCAATAGGCTAGCCAGTAAAACATGATCGACTCAAGCTACGAGTGTTTCAATTTAAGTATTTGTCTCTTCACCTCTTAAACTTGGGCGTGCCGCCTGGAAGCCAAGAGGGAGAGGAGAGAGTAACCAAACTAACGCAGCGTAAGAAACCTGCAATTGGCTAGCTAGTAAAACATGGTCTATTCAAGCTACGAGCTTTTTGCCCTTGAAAAAAATCTCTCGTCACCTCTTAAACTTGGGCGCGCCGCCTGTAAGCTAAGAGGGAGAGGAGAGAAAAATTTACTGAATTATCCAAACTAACATAGCTCATGAAAACTGCAATTGGCTAGATAGTAAAACATGATCGATTCAAGCTACGAGTTTTTTACCCTTGAAAAAAATCTCTCTTCACCTCTTAAACTTGGGCGCGCCGCCTGTAAGCCAAGAGGGAGAGGAGAGAATAATCCACTAAATTATCAAAACTAACATAGCGCATGAAAACCGCAATTGGCTAGGTAGTAAAACATGATCGATTCAAGCTACGAGTTTTTTACTCTTGAAAAAAATCTCTCTTCACCTCTTAAACTTGGGCGCGTCGCCTGTAAGCTAAGAGGGAGAGGAGAGAATGACCTACTGAATTATCCAAACAAGCACAGCGTATAAAAACTGCAATAGGCTAGCTAATAAAACATGATCGACTAAAGCTACGAGTGTTTCAATTTAAATAAATCTCTCTTCACCTCTTAAACTTGGGCGTGCCGCCTGGAAGCCAAGAGGGAGAGGAGAGAGTAACCAAACTAACGCAGCGTAAGAAAACTGCAATTGGCTAGCTAGTAAAACATGGTCTATTCAGGCTACGAGCTTTTTGCCCTTGAAAAAAGTCTCTCTCACCTCTTAAACTTGGGCGTGCCGCCTGTAAGCTAAGAGGGAGAGGAGAGAAAAATTTACTGAATTATCCAAACTAACATAGCTCATGAAAACTACAATTGGCTAGATAGTAAAACATGATCGATTCAAGCTACGAGTTTTTTACCCTTGAAAAAAATCTCTCTTCACCTCTTAAACTTGGGCGCGCCGCCTGTAAGCTAAGAGGGAGAGGAGAGAAAAATTTACTGAATTATCTAAACTAACACAGCGCATGAAAACTGTAATTGGCTAGCTAGCTAAAACATGACGATTCAATCTACGAGTTTTTCCCCCTTTAGAAATCTCTCTTCACCTTTTAAACTTGGGCGTGCCGCCTGTAAGCTAAGAGGGAGAGGAGAGAAAAATTTACTGAATTATCCAAACTAACATAGCTCATAAAAACTGCAATTGGCTAGATAGTAAAACATGATCGATTCAAGCTACGAGTTTTTTACCCTTGAAAAAAATTTCTCTTCACCTCTTAAACTTGGGCGCGCCGCCTGTAAGCTAAGAGGGAGAGGAGAGAATAACCTACTGAATTATCCGAACTAACACAGGATATGAAAATTGCAATTGGCTATCTAAAACACGATCGATTTAAGGATCCGAGTTCTCTTTACTTACAAAATCTCTCTTCACAAAATGCGTTCCTATAATCCATTCCTTGAAATTTGAATCTGTAAATCACTTTCGGTGAAAATCTAACATCGTGCAGAAAATACTAAACGAGCTGGGCCCAGCGTGACATAAATCGAAGGAAACCATCACATTCACGGACAAAAGAATATCGCCAGCTATTCAGATCCAGGAAGCACTTTGGAGAAGACTAAACAACCTAAAACTCTTATTTAGCCGCAAAGGAAGAGATTTACGTTTTAAAAGAGGTCGAAGAAAGTGCTCTTGCATCAGAGGACAAATCATGCCGACCAGAAACAATAACCGCAGAAAATCAATATGCGTGTCGTGACCTCTCAGTATGAAACAAGCGGCAAAATTCACATTTACTCATTCAAAGAGTAGAACCCAGAATATAACATACCCACCAGAGAAAACAATTTTTGGAACAAGCAGCATTTTGGCACGAGGTAAAAGTCATGTGTTGCCTACCAGTCCCCTTTTTACACTCTGTTAGATGGTTCGAGCATTTTGGCGGGATCACGGCTCTTTTGGCGCGTGTTGTAAATGCCCTTTGAATTATAATATTTGTGCGTTATTGTATAGTGATCGAGGATATACACAATACCAAAGGCAAGTAAATATTTTCCTCTGTTTTCCTCAGTGTCGTCAAACCGGCTTCACCGATGTGCTCGAACTCCGCATGCGAGAGCCATAACAAGCTGCTCCTCTACCTTTTAAATAATAAAGGTCTCTCTTACCTTATATCGGCGAACACAGTTTCCGTCCTTCGGACATAATGCGAAATAACATCCAGAACTCTTCACGTTGAACTTTTGAAACCATTTCGGCGACAATATGTAACTTACCAGGTAACGTACCGAATAATTATTACTTTGGAGAGTTCGAATTCGACCTTCATAAAGCGCTAGATTTTGCCTTTCGCTTAAGAAACGAAAAAAAATTTTTTTTTTCCAAGACTTGCACCAAGACCCTTTTTAACACCAACCATGAATTTAAGTATTTTCATTAAGTGATTTTGACGAGAACCATAGCTGAGTTAAAATATCTCGCTCCGATGGTATAAATTCGGCGCGCAGAAGACAAGCTCTGATATTTGACGCAAATTTGTGTCCTGTCCTAAAATGAGTTTATTGACAGATGAACTGACAGAAAGCGATTAATGTGAACACCTGAGGTGCGCAAGGAAATGTGTCAAGACTAACGCCTTGTAGTTACTTGAGTCCAGTTTGTGGGTATCTCCATGGAAATTAAGGATCCCTGGTGCGTGCACGAAAATCGACCTTGCGGCTCGTAATGCTGTTTGCGATGGCTTCATATCAGGATTTTAATCGTCACAATTTATTTCCATAGGGTCATATATTTGTGAATATTTTGCCACTATGTGGAAAAAAGCGTAGAGTTATTTATTTGGTCTACAGTAACTTATCAGACAGTAGCAGTGGATTGCCAAAAAAGTTCTCGTGATTTCCACGTTTTTCCGTTTAGTCGGGCTAATATAATTCACGTGATGTCCCGGGTGCCAACACAAAACTGTGTGACCCATTTTATGACTTTTATAAACGGTTGAATTTCTTGTTGAATTAAACGTCTAAATCTCTAAAATACGCTGTTTGCGGGTACAAGAATCACAATGCACCATATTTCAGGCAAAAATACTTCTATGTTGATCTAATGGGTATATAAAACTGCCGTACATGTCGTACATACCATGAGACTGTCATAGTTTTTGAACACTCAACGTTTCTGGGCAACGTATCGAAAACTACTTGATTCGACGGTTTCGATTGGACTACGGAATACGTAGTCGAGAGGCCATTAAATCGAGACGATTTTTATCAAGTAGTTTTCGATACGTTGCCCAGAAACGATGAGTGATCCTAGCTTTTTGTGGGTTGCCTGTTTTGCGATTTGGCATGGTATGAACAGATCGGCTCCTGATTTCAAATATGAAAAAATTCCTGACTAGGATTAATATCCCCCAGGGCAGATGCAAATACAGTAGCCTCTCAAAAACAAGAGTCGGCTGAACCTTCTTTTAATATACTAAAAAGGCTCCGTCTACACGGTCTACATGTACTAACTAATCCGAAAGTTTTTCTTTCCGATCCGGTTCTCGGATAATGTTACACGGGTACTTTTTGACCTCCGGCGTTTTCCACCTTTTGTAGAGAATGCCGAACTTTTGGAAAGTGCTCTCTAGTCTGTAGTAGATAAACCTAAAAGCAGCAGATAGGAGACAGAGGAAATGAATGTTTCCCAAGCTCGAATTATGCGCATCGGCCCTGTTCCGGTTTCTGTCAAGACGTTTTTTTTACCTGAATCCTATCAGGGGCCGTCGACATTCACTTTTCCCCCGCTTAACGTCAACTGGACGTTTAGGTCAGACCTCCCCTCCCTCCCCGGCCCTTCTTTAACGCCTACATGAAATTTTTCCGCACGGAACACAGTAAAGAAATGTTCAAGCCCTGGCCCTTCAATCACTGCGCGCGCTGCATACAGATTACTCAGTTATCTGCTGGCAGTTTGAGTTATAAAATTTTGATCTGCCAGCAGATAACTGTAGGCAGTACTGATTTCCAAAATTAACTGTGGCTCTTAACCTATGACAGGGACACCCAACGACAGTTTCCTCCAAAATATGTTGATTTCACTTTTTAGGCTATCCAGAGTGTTTTTAAATCTCTAGAAATGCATTCTAAGCAGCGCTACATCATTTTTATCTGTTCGGTCATCCTAGGGGAACTTGAGTCTTTTCGAAATTGCAACGGCTTCAGTATTGGCCGAAAATTCTAGGTGGAATTTAACGCTTTACGAAAATGAGAATTTTTGTGATTCCTCTCTCCATTACATTTTAGAATCCGAAAATTTTAGGTTTCCGTTTTCTATAAAAAAAAAAAATAAAAATAGCGTAAACCAGTTAGTAAAATATGAAAAATTAAACTACAGAAAATCGTAGGGAATTTATTAGGAAAGCTTTGGAAATTGTACATTACTGGAACGTTCATCTAGAAATTTTTAGCCGTCCTCAAGGCAATATTTTCTTCTCTGAACAGATATTTTACAAAAAACAGTCGTTGGGTGCCCCTGCAATGAGAAGACATTGAGTGCGTACAATGCATAATAATCTCGATAATGTGAAGAGACGGAGTGGGGTCTGGTAGGGCCCGCGATTTTTGTTTTCGCAGTGATGAAAACATAAACATAAGCATGCGCAGTCGATGAGTATTTCTGGGAAGAGAACCGGCCAACACGTTGTGTTTCACATTTACTACCAATATGTACCATAACAGAAGCCTTTGAAAATGGATGTTTTTAGTGTTTTGGGGCCTCTACTTCCAAGAGTCGCTAAGTAGAGTTTTCCAAGATGTCAGCTGATGACACAGAATACGACGATTTCTTCTGCGATGAGGATGAAGGGGAGATAGTAGATTGGCAACTGCCCCTATGTTTTATGAAAAAACGACACAAGGAGGTGATCGAAGGATCGAGGCCTTTGGCACAAACATGGCGAATGAAAGAGCGAGTGAGTTATTTTAAGGGGATTAATTCCTTTTCATGGTGTGGTACACTTTGCCCTTTGGTTTATTCTAATCATGTAACTTCGTGATTTTGATTTTAGATGAAAACCGTGAGCGTAGCTTTGGTGTTGTGTTTGAACATCGGCGTGGATCCCCCCGACGTCGTAAAAACCTCCCCTTGTGCCAGAATGGAATGCTGGATTGGTCAGTAATATATCTTTCTTATTCGGAGATTATTTTAGCTTATTTCTCGACGTTCCTTTTCAAAAAATTCAAGTTTCCTCGAGAGAAACCCCTCCCCGTCAGCTGTTTAAAATGTACATTTTTGTACGTAACCTTTGTACTTTGATGTGGTAAAATGCCAGTGAAATTTTAGCTTCTCTTCGCCTTTTTTGTGGTAATAACGCTAGCTAATTTTTATCATCAAGATAGTAAAGGGGTTGTTGACTGGTGGCGTTTTTTACTTAATTTTGTACAAATTCTGAAAACGCATCATGACCATTTGTAGGTACTCTCAAATCATTTGTACATTCATTTATCATTGTGTTAGCTTCTGGCAAAATAGTATTTTCGCTTTTAATGACGAAGAATCGTGCAAATTTGATCACGTAATACAGTGACGAGTTGCAGTTGTTTGAACGTTTTGGCTTGTATGATTGCTGAGTTATTACGAAATTGTTTGAAACAAATATTTCAGCCTTTTTCTTGAATCTTCTTACCCTGCGAGCAGAGTCTCCTTTGATCTTCCTAGATTAGTCGGGAGACTCTGCTCGCAGGGTAGAATCTTCTAGTCATGAGAAGTAGTTAATTTATAATCAAAAAGACCAAAAATCGCTCAACTGGAACGCTAGAAAACTTTAAATTTAACCAAAACATTTTTAACATTGTAATTTTTTAAATAAAGCATCAAAATAATGATATAAATATATTCAGAGTAAAATTTAGGGTATTTTTGTATTCCCTGTATTTTTCAGAATGGGATAGTGATAGCTAACTTAATTAATTTGGGCCTTCTTGTACTATATAGTTACTTAATAGAAGTGCTGCACTCTTTAGAACAAAAAGTCTAGACTTACTTTCAAGTAGGAAATTTTGCTACACAATCAATATCATAAACAATTATTAAAAAAGGTATTCACCTTAAAACTGTTTAAAAGTCACCACAACTCTTTTTGCAACTGTCTGAAGTGAAAAGAGCAGTAGTTTTTCAGTTTTAGCTGCAAACAAGGCTGAAGTTGACCTTGTTATGTCAATAACATTACCTCCAACCCTTCTTGCTTTGTTATGTAAATCAAGCTATTCTTATGCTTTTTCACTAGTATTGTTTTCCCCATAATTCCCATAGAAAGGGAAGGGGTTCTTTTAAATCAAAACAAGGTCAACCTCAGCCTCACAAACTTCCAAAGGCTAGGATACTAAGCCAACAACCATAACTGTTTATGAAAGGTTATACCCATCAATAATCATTCAAAGACAGGGAAGAAAAAATTCTCGAAATAGGAGAGAAGCTGCCTTGGTTTTAGGGATGTCTTGTTTCTTCTTAGATCGTGTCCACACATAATGTATGAACACACATTTAACAAATTGACAACAATTTTCTATGGACTGTTCTCTTATAGACTATAGAAATGGTTGATCAGAGTACAGACTGTGGAAAATTGTTGTTAATTTGTTTTTAACAGTGACATTGAAGGTTTTGACGTCCATTTCCATTGAAGTTTCTTGGGGAAGTGGACAGGCGAGAAAGAGAAAAACAAATTGTGCCACCATCTCATCATTTCCATGGTTTTCCATGGACTGTACTTGTATCAAACATAGCTCTTGACCAATCAGTGTTAAAGAAATTGCTTAGTTATGGTAAAATTTGGCCGTCCATCCACACAGTTAGACATTAAAAAACAACAACTGCTTTTGAAAATGTTCAGAAGTTGAGACTTCTGCAAACAGAGGTCTATTATTGAAATGTAGTGGCGAGGTTCTCAAGACACAGAGTTCATATAAGCTGCTTGCACGTACATGTATATCTGAAAATATTCTCAAAATGAAAGAGTATTTTTAGCTTTTCAATTTTTGATTCTTGGTTTAGATAGTATGCCGATGTGGATGTGAAGATTAACATCATGGTTTTTGTAAACACAAAAACAGAGGTTTTTGAAAATGCCTTGGTTTGGATGTGACCGCGCATAGATAACTTACTTTCCTAATCCAAGACAAATTTATTAACACAGTTTACTTGTAACAGATCCTCTGTCTATGAGCCCTCAGAAGGCCTTAGAAACTGTGGGAAATAAACTACAGGAACAGTATGAACGCTGGCAGGCAAGGGTAAGTTTATCTTTTATGTTAGACAAGCTTCTTGTAGAGTGCAAAATAGTACATGTATTGTGAGGATTTGGAGGTCAGCTGTGCTGCAAATTATGTGATTTCTCTGTAATAGATTTGGCAGGATTGTTGTCAGATACAATATAGGTGGAATAAGATATTGAACAAAACCTGAGCTGCAGCGTGGAATAATAATCCAAAGTATTTGTTTGTAAGCTCATCAAATAATGTGACATAAGAGTGGTGATTTTTTGTTAGGCACGCTACAAGCAGAGTCTTGATCCTACAGTGGATGAAGTGAAGAAGCTTTGTACATCTCTGCGCCGAAATGCAAAGGTAAGTTATGTTGCAGCTTTATTTTGTCTAAGGAAATTAAAATATGTTTTGACAGTTTAAGCTTCACTGAATTAAGGTCTGTACTCTAGCCGAGCCTGGTGGCTCCTGACACCCAACTTTCGTTCTCCGGTGACTAGAAAATCTCAGATTTTTCATACAAATCGTATGCTGGGCACCCAAGGTTTCACAGGTTAAGAGCACTGGGCTCCCGTTAATTTTCTTTAGAGCACAGCCTTGGAATTGACATCCTTATCTTGCTGGTGAATTGCACCTTAAACCCTGTCAAGCTTCTCTTCACTGTACAAAATCTGGTCATCCTTCTGGATTAGCAATCTTTCAAGTTTTAACATATTTAAAATGGTTAAGGAAAAATGTTCAATCACTGAATCCAGTTTGAGCAACCACTCATACCCAAAGCTAACAATAACCAGCCATTATATCATTAGTTCCACCCATTTTGACCCTTCTTCCAACCAAATGATTACCTCGTTACTACATCAAGGAGGCTCTGTTATTTTTATTCATAAGTTTTTTCACAATTACTGAATTTTTCCATTGCAGGAAGAGAGAGTGCTTTTTCATTACAACGGGCATGGAGTTCCAAGGGCAACTGCTAATGGAGAGATATGGGTTTTCAACAAAGTAAGAGGATGCTTTGTAAATTATTGATTTGTTTTGTTTTTTAAACAGAAGTGTTGATGAATTAATCATTTACCTGCTTCTCCCATGCCACCTCCAAACTTCAAGTCCTTAACCCAAAAGACGAAGTTTCAGTTTTGTACCAAAATGTATAAATTATTTTTTGTAGAGCTACACCCAGTATATTCCACTGTCAGTGTATGACCTCCAGACCTGGATGGGAAGTCCTTCAATCTTTGTTTATGACTGTAACAATGCAGGGCTCATTGTTCAATCATTTATTCAGTTTGCTGCTCAACGTGAACAAGAGCAGGAGGTGAGAGCTCTTGAAAGTTGAACTATATTTTCAGTTTACTTAATATTTTTATTCCACTTTCAGTCTTTGCATGTGAGACATTGTCCAGTAGTTGGCCATCCACTGTTCCATATCCAATGTGCACTCATGGAATAACAACATTAGTACATGTGATAAAGTTAATGACTATAAGCAATTTACTTTGGCATAAACATACGAAAATAATACTATGATCATGATGCCTTCATCAAGGCTTAGTATCAATAATACTTTATAACAATTATTTGATGAGGCAGAGACTATCATCTGAAGAATTATGGAGATCAAGGAGGGTGTTATTGGCTGAGGTAGATAACACCCTCTGAGATCTCCATAATTATTCTTCAGATGATAAGAAAGCCAAATTCAATAATTGTTTTATTATTCACTCAAAATAATTCCTAGTTATAAAACAAGCCAAAACATGCTTGCTTCCATTGACGTTGAGTTTATCTTTGATTGCATGTTTATCAGCAAGTGTAGGAGATATAAAAGGGGCTGTTCAGTTCTGCAAATATTCTTCAAATAGCAGATGTCGTCCATCGAGTTGTATTCTTACTGTTCCTGCTAAGGAGTGCAAAGGAGTGAAATGTTCTGCCATTTTGTACTCACAACCATAACCACTCAACCTCGTCCCCAGGTCTTCCTGGTTGACTGTCTAGTTTTCTGGCAATTATACTTTAGAATTGATGTCATTTAACACATACTGCAAACTTCTTCCAAATGTGGTCAACACTAGCTGGTTATGATGAATTATCTGTGGGATTTTAGCCAATCAGAAATGGAGAAATATTTTGATTGAATAATAAATGTATTTATGTTATTTTAAGAACATGTTACAGTGACATGTACAGGGTGTGACAAAACTGCTGTCCAATAAGCCAGCGCTAGTGGATCAATCAGTTTAAGGGCTAGCAAAGTTTGATGGACAAGCAATCTTTGCCAAGGCAAAGAAGATGTTAGCCAAAAGTGGGTTGGTAGGCCTACACAACTGCTCCAGGCTGGTAAAGTTCAGCAACAGATTGCCCAAAGGGCAAGCAATATTTCACAATTTTTCTCTCACCCTGATATAAATCAGTTTCAAGTCTCTAAATTAGCATAGTAACAAAGCTGTTGAACAGCTAGTCTCTAAATGAAGATGCTTTGGTGTTGACTGAATTAGTTTGCATATTCAGGTTGGTTTGAAGCGTGCAAGTAAAGAGGCTTGGATCTGATTCATATAAATTTCATTATTTGCTACCTAGTCTTAATAGCATCATGATGACACCAAAACATGGGTTTTTAAAATTAATTTAGTTTTGTAAAATGTAATTTATTAACCATTCAGATGACTGACTGGTGATGACTAACACGCTTATTGCAATTTTCTATTATGCTGTTTTAGCGTTGCTTGGCACAGGGCACCCCAATGCCAGTACCACTGGCAGTCAAGAACTGTATCCAACTGGCATCATGTGATGCAAACCAGCTACTGCCAATGAATCCAGAACTTCCTGCTGACTTGTTTACTTCCTGTCTGACTACACCTATCAAAGTGGCTTTACGATGGTGAGTATTTCTTAAGGCCTTGCTAGAAGTAACCTTTTTAATCTATGCCATGCCAGAAATATGCTTAAAAATGAACTTTAATCAGGGTGCAAAGAAAGTCATGTACATGTACTATCCCAAGAGTCATTTTAACTAGGCTGAAAAATTGATTACAGTTCTTCTGATCAGTAAGTTGAATTCCCCCCAAAATTTCACTTTCGTACTGAGCAAGTTAAGAACAGGATTCACTAGCCCAATAGCAAACTCCACTAGCCCCAGGCTACTGGGCATGACTTTCTTTGTACACTGTTAATGAATCAAGTTTTATTTGTGTTATTGATTTCTTTGTGTGACCTTTCGGTCCCCTCTATGGTGCATGTTCATGTAATTACACAAGGATTAATTTAGTTGAGCACTTATGTTTTCAGGTTTTGTGGGCAAAAAAGTAGCAAGCTTGTTCCTGGTGTTACCCTTGAACTAATAGAAAAGTAAGTGTATGATTTTACAAACTGATGCAAGACAAGAACTGCTAGAAATGTTTTTTGCGTGCATTATTTTTTGATAACAAAGGACCAGCCAGAGTAAATAAGTTTAGAACAATGTTACTTTTGTCAACAAGACACTTGCAATATAATGCAGTAACTTTGGAGTACTCTCGAAAATAACCTAAAAAATTGAAGGGACATCTCTCAAGCTTTAGCCCTTTAATACTTCATGTTTTTATTTTATAAAATTATTGTTGTCAATGTTGAAAATTAGCTCAGACTATTTTTATCCTTTCTGCATGGTTTTTGGCTTTTTCATCAAATTTGTCTATTCAATTTGCCTTGAATGTCTGAATGTGACACTTTAATAATTAGCTCTGTCTCAACAGAATTCCCGGTCGTCTGAATGACAGGAGAACACCGTTAGGAGAACTCAGTTGGATTTTTACAGCTGTGACTGATACTATTGCATGGAACACTTTACCAAGAGGTACACTGAAAAGACTGGTTGGCTAACTCATTGATGTTATTAATTACAGTGGTTTCAAACTAAATTAACTCTTGATTTCCTCTGCTGTCCAACACTTTATTATTATTCATTGTTATTGATGGTTAGGGCTGGGAGAGTGAAGGATATTAAGGATCAAAATAGGTTTAAAACCTCATTAACCTTCATTTTGAGCTAAAACATAAATAATAAATAATATTATGAAAGCAGTTAGCAATGGGATTTTTATACTAATCAAAGTCAGTCTGCGACACAAATTATTGAGGATCCCTGAGCTCTAAATGATTCTTTCTGTTTGTGTGAAAGAAGGGCATTGTGCATTTTTATGCTGTCACCAAATTTTACTATTGATTGACGGCTGTCATGTAAAAAGGGGTCCTTGGAGAGATCTCTGAAATTACAAAATATGGTCCTTTTGAGTCTTTAAAGAGTAACTGAAGTTTTGGTTGGAAAATTGAGCCCTGCCTTATACTCTAATAAATTGTGGTTTGTTTTTCAGTTTTTATCTCATTTATACCTGTTTTTTTTATGTCACAGAACTCTTTCAGAAGCTCTTCAGACAGGATTTACTTGTGGCAAGCTTGTTCAGGAATTTCCTTCTTGCTGAGAGAGTCATGAGGTCATATAACTGTACACCTATTTCAAGTCCCAGACTCCCCCCTACTTACATGCACCCCATGTGGTAAGTAAAGGTAGCTGTGCTACAGTTATTTTTATTAGTTGCACCCATTGTTTGTAATTAAGACCTTTGGGCCTTCTCAGAAACCCAGCAATGTGAGGCAGTAGAATGAAGTTTTCTGCTTAAGACCACTAGCCCAGTTTGGTAATTGGGATGTTATCTTCCATTCATGCTCATGGCAAATGCCCTAAGAGCTTATACCAGCTACACTGCCTATCTGGCCTTTCAAACCTAGGCAATAATATTTAAATGTTCTCAGTGTTTGTTTATTTGCCGTATATATAGATTGCTTTATTTCTCTTGACTTTGTAGGCAAGCATGGGATTTAGCAGTTGATATCTGCCTCTCCCAGTTACCTGACATTATTGAAAATCCTGGTAATTTCAAGGTAAGTCGGCTTTTCCAAGAATACTTGAGTTATGGCTGTAGACAGTAACTGCTGTTGAGCTAGTCAAACAGTTTGTCACTATATGTACCTGCCAGCTGCCAAGTTGGAAAGCCCATACCTGTATTAGTAGTTAGACATACAGCATGCTGGTAAATGAAATCATCATTCTTTTTGTGGAATTCCTCATTTTGAGAATGTCATCAACCTCTAACCAGGACAAAAATTCAGTTATGAGAATAAAGTTATGCTGTAATAAGGTACAGCTGCATTCCTTTGGGACAATCCTGATCAGGCTTCATGGTCCAAGATCACCCTGGCTGTTAGCGACTTTAAGATGTCACGATGGCGATGACAACGAGAACATCAAAAATGCAGTAGGTTGAATAGGGAAAACAACAACTCTGCTTGTGATCATGCTTTTTTGTACATTTGTTTGCTGTTACTGCACGACGACGATGGGAAAATGCCTAATTTCATGTTTTATGGAGGACGTAAATAAGAGACAGCTAAATTTTCTTTCTTTTTCTAAACTTGAATATGGTTCTTAGGAATTCGGCTCAAAAAGAGTTCGCTTGCATTTGACAAAGTAAATGAGTTGGAGTAATTATCACGATGGAGATTGAAAGACACAAATTCTCTTTTTAAGTGACATTTTCTTGGCTGTCACCATCGTGGTATCTTAAACCCCCTTTTATATCTGGACAAGGATTTGTCCAGATGGACTTTTGACGCATTATGATCCAACTAATCTTTGATCATAAATCCCTATCCAGATCTTTCCAAGGAATGCTTTCATCACCCCAAATGTCACTGATGAATATTATTATGTCAATATAAGTTAATCTGACTTTGTTCCATTCAATCTGGGGATCATTTGCCGTAGCCAATCAGTCAGTCATATCTAATGTGTTTCTGTTACTGTCCTCTTTCAGCATAGCCCATTCTTCACAGAGCAGCTCACAGCATTTCAGGTGTGGCTGGCCATGGGTGCAGAGTACAGGGACCCACCTGAGCAACTGCCTATAGTTCTACAGGTTTTGTTGAGTCAGGTGCACAGACTCAGAGCCCTGGATCTTCTTGGCAGGTTCTTAGATTTAGGACCTTGGGCTGTCAATCTGGTAAGCGTCATTCAGAAATCTTAACTGTGGCTTCTCACTGCATGTCAGGGATTTTTGAGATCTCATTTGGATACCGTGAAAGAGACAGATCAAAGACAATTGTTTGCAATACAAAGATGTGTGTTGACCTGTACATTGAATTATGTGCAATTTGGTATTTTCAGAACAAAGAGAATTTTCACATTATAGATGGTTATTTTCTGTCATAGAGGGTCAATTGCTTGACTGAATATGCCTTTATCCACACATTTTCAGTAGTTTCTGTCTTTTGTCCATGATTCTGGTCTTTGTGTCATCAGGGGAAACTCTAGATCGATCATGTTAAAAATATTTAACAGCTGTGCACAGGTTGTGCCATAAGAAAGGAGTTTGTACCTTTGTGTTGTCAAATAAAATTTATTGCATGGATCTAAATCTGTTTGTGATTATCCTTTTTATCACTTTTTTATTTAGTTGCCTTTCAGTTATTCAACAAACCATGACAGCTTGTCATTTAGTCATGCCAACGTAAAATTTTTCTCTCTCTTTTTAGGCCCTTTCTGTTGGAATCTTTGCTTATGTACTCAGACTGCTTCAAAGTTCTGCCAGAGAATTAAGACCTCTGTTGGTTTTTATTTGGGCCAAGATTCTTGCTGTTGATAGTGTAAGTTTAGATACTTAATATACCGGTATGGCTTGTTTCCTGTTGTGGTCCTTATTATGTCTCCATACAACCACAGGCATTAGCTAGTTGTGTGTGTGGCCTTGAATTTTTACCTTCTTTTCTCCGATTGTTGATGTACATCAGTATTGATATATGGCTTAGTTTGTTACAGTTGTAGATTCTTTTTTGTATCTAAAATCCACTATCGTAATTCATGTATTAAGCTCCCCCTCTCAAATAAGCCCCCTTCCTCTAATAATCCCCCCCCCCCTTTTCAGGGGAAGAAAGTTAATAAGCCCCCCTCTCTATTAAGCCCCCCCCACTCCCCACCACTAATTATTCTTTGTTAATAACGATAGTCTGTATTAGTCAATGATGACTGTAAAAGTTTGTGTGGACTTATCCGGGATGGTTTATTTACCAACTGGAAGTTCGGAATTGATTCTGATCCTCGGCTGCATGACCCAAAACTTCTTGTACTTGAGCTTTTCCGCTTTGTATTCTAGTTCTTTATGGAGAACTGATACCATCATCGTTTCTAAATTAAATAAGCCCTCCCTCTCAAATAAGCTCCTGTTTCTATTAAGCCCCCCTCAAATGGGCTTGAAATAAATAAGCCTGCCGTGGGGCTTAATAGAGGATTTACAGTACTTACATTATCTCTGTCAACTTTGCAGTCTTGCCAGGCAGATCTTGTGAAGGACAATGGTCATAAATATTTCTTATCTGTGCTAGCGGATCCCTACATGCTAGTAAGTAATGAATGACTATGAATGTGCTCCTTGTTTACCTAAAAATGATATTAAAATAGTAAAAGCAATATACTTATTGTACATTGCATACTAGATAATTTCTCACTTGCTCTGTTCAAGAGTGTATGAGATAAAGACAACTCTATGGGCTTTTATGCTGGCAAAAAGAAAACTGAGATACAGCTGTAGGTGACAAAGGTTTAGATGTGGCTTAATGTAGTTTAGGTTAGCCTCACCTACATTACATTAAGCCACATCTAAACCAAAGGTTAAACCTGCTGACCATTAGTCTCCATCACTAACTGTATACAGTGTGGGATGGTCTGAATGCAGTTGCAGGGTTCTAGTAATTTTAGCGTGTTTTTGCCGAGATCTGTTATTTCAGTCATGTTGCCTTTGCATGCAGTCACTTTAGCTTTTCAGAATTTAAATGATTTATTTTTTTTGTTTTTTTTTGTAGGCTGAGCATCGAACAATGGCAGCCTTTGCCCTGTCAGTAATTGTCAATGAATATCCAATTGGTCAAGTGAGTTTTTCCTGTTTTGATTATTTTGCTTATGAACAAGAAAGTCAGATCATAATAGTTTGTGTGAGGCAAATATGTTTTTTCTCATAGTACATGTATATGTTGTGTCAACAAATCATTTCGTTTAATCCTTTGTTCAGTTTAATTTGTCTAACACAACTTTTCTTTCCTTTTTTCCAAAGAATTTTTTAGACATCACATCTATGGCATAAATCACAAAATTAATGAAGCCAGAATTGCTAGTCTTATTCTCCTTGACTGTTTTATTGTACCTCTGTCTTGTTTAGGAAGTGTGTGTGCAAGGAAATGTAATAGCCATATGTCTGGAACAGTTAACAGATCCTCACCCTCTGTTGAGACAATGGTTAGCCATATGTCTTGGTAGAGTGTGGTATAATTATGAAGCTGCCAGGTGGTGTGCTGTTAGAGATAGTGCACCTGAAAAACTCTACTGCCTCTTAACTGATCCACTACCAGAGGTGAGGCTTGATGCTATTTTATTATTGCCAAGGAAATTTTTTTTTTGCCATTTTCATAAATCAGAAAGGTTTGAAAATATTTAGGATGCTGGTATCAACATCTTTATATAATTTATTTCTTAAATTGTAAAAAACTTAACAACAAAAATTTCACACAAGTGTGCAACTAAAATTGGTCAATCTAGATGAGTATTGTTTTTAAAGTGATTACTGAGGGAAAACCACCTCTTTTAAGTGAATTTAAAATGAGTGAGTAAACAAATAAATAAATCAGGTTCTCAAAATAACGGCTGGTCAACAGACAATGTCTGGCCAGAACAGCATCTTGACTCAGGCCAAAAGCTACACTTGCTGGTCATGTTGACTGGTCGCCCACTCTCTTATTGTTGAACAAACAACCAAATCCTCACCTGTAAATGGACGTAGATTTTGGCTCTTTCTGAAAATACAGTCATGGTCACAAATTGAAAAGTGCACAAGAATTATTTCTCTTTTTTCCACTTATTTTTTTGACTGGTCAGAAAATGAGATTTGACCAAGTGAAAATTTCTTTGGCCAGTCATTGTGTCTGGCCATGGTCTAAAAATTATTTTGAGCCCTGAAAATAAATAAATAAAATAATTGTGTGAAGATGGATGAGGCAAGGACCCCTAAATTGCACCATATGGAAGGTTCCTGGCATGTTTGTAGGCCTCCATTGGACCAGGCAAACCCACTGACAACTCTGCAAGTTAGGCATAAGCCGTGCACAGACTGCCACCACTGTGATCACCCAATGTGCGCCAAATAATGTTTTAAATAACAGATTATTACAGACATCTTACTGCACAAGTATGGTGATGTACAAATAATGACTTAAGGCTCTGATTGTGATTTTTGTCTTTTCAAGGTTCGTGCAGCAGCAGTGTTTGCTCTAGGAAGATTTATAGCCAATACTGGTGACAGATCTGATCAAGCCAATCAGATTGATTTTGGAGTTGCCATGAGATTGACGCAGCTGTCTCAAGATGGCAGCCCACTAGTTAGAAAGGTTTGTAATTAATGTGATCCATTTGAATTGTAGCTGAATTTGACAATAGATCAAAACTGGCTTAGAGTTACCACCTTATTCTTCAAAATAAGTACCATTTTATTTTATGTGTTAAAATAGTAAGAATGTACTTATTTTAATATGTACCAAAACACAACTTGGGGCTTTTAACAGTGTTCTTACCAGGATTTTGCAGACTGTGGTCCACAGGACCCATAGAGAGGCTAAAAGGGGGCTCATGAGGGAGAAAAGTGGGTCACAATTTTTAGACAGTTAACTCAACATTTTCACAGGTCTGAGTCGTAGATAATAATGGGTGTTTTCTAAAGACACCATAACCAATTAAATTTTGGCTCATATTGTAAGGAAATGACGTATGTGTACGTATGCTTTCGTACACTTTGTAATAGGTTTTTTCCCCATCTTTGCGTGCTTTGAACCCCTTGGGCTAATTATAGTGCGGCATTTCCCGAAAAAGTGTGGCAATGCCGCAATGCCGCGGTCTGGTAAGAACACTGTTTTAAGGACTTGTTCAACAAGTGTTCTTTATGTCCCACGTAAGAGAAATAGAATCATGTTCACGGAAAACAGCAAATGTAAGATTCAAGTCGTCAATTTTCCAAAAGAAAGAAAAAATTGATAAATCAGAACTTATTATTGTTGTAGTTGTTGTTTTAACTACAGTAGTCAGAAAATGGGAGTACTTGGAATAAAATCCTAATGTTTATCATAGAATATTCCAGATAACGATATTAGATAATTAGATTTGGTTTAAAATGTGTTGGTGTTTGTTAGGAACTTGTTGTTGGCCTTCATGGCCTCGTGATGCAGTTTGAAACCAACTTTGGTGTTGTAGCACTCCAGTTCCTTGAAGAGGATCGTCAAAGAGAAAATGCTCCATCTGCAGCAGCCATTACACCCAGTGGCTGGATTGTTGTGGGTTCCGGACCATCTTCAGGAATGGAAGCCATAACACATACCAGTTCTGGCGGTGGAGGCAAGAATCCTAAAGGACTGAGACCTAGCTTCTCAACTTCTCAGCTCAATACTTTTGCATCTACTCCTCATTCTAGCAGTGGTAAGACTGACTGACTTAAAGCTGTGTGCATTTTACAAATCTTTCCATACATAAACCTTTTCACTCCCAGAAGAAGCCAAAGTCGAAATTAAACGAAAAGTCCAAATTCCATTTATGAAGGTACTGCTGAAGAGGGTACATTTGAATGTTTACACCGTAGGATTTCATCCGTAGAATTAAAAGTTAGAATTGCGTTCTAAATAAATAGTACAATGTTAAGGTACTGCTGAAGAGGTTTCATTTGAATGGTCGCACTATGGGTTTTCATCCATGGACTCAAAAGTTAGATCCACCTCGCAAGACTCTATCATTCATGCTGCGAGTGAAAATCAAGAGTGGATGAGGCTGCAGCCAAAAAAAGTCAGAGATTTGTGGAATTGAAGATTTTTTTCCTTAACAGATAGCACGTCTCTTTAGTCGTCTAACCTGTGTCCTTCTTGGAAGTGAAACGAAAATTATGAAGAAAAGGAAGCAAAAATGATCCTTTCTTCTCAGTTTTAAAACTAGGTTGTCTGCTCAGAGATTGATGCCTTCACCACTGTGTTTATGAGCGTTTTCTCAGCTTTATGGCTCTCTGTGAAGCTGTCAGAGTTCATGCTCCCTTTTTTTCTAGCTATCTCCTGTTGTACTGTCTGTGTCCTTGGTTAGTAGGCCACGTGAGGCCTGCTAGAAGATTAAAGGCCTTAGTATTGTCAATAAAAGTGAAAAAAGATGGTTGTGCATACCGTTGAAACATTCTTTTCCCATAGGTCAACACATGCCCCATCCATTGATGACGTACAGTAGTAGCAGTGGTAGCACAGGCAGTAATGATTTTATACCTGGCATGAAGGACCTGCGACGTTCTTCTTCACAGATTTCACTTTCTTCTAGCATCCAGTCTAATGTGTATGCAAATGTGTGGAAGGTTAGTTTGCTAAAGCTTAAGACTGCATGGGCGTGATCAACCTTACTCTTCATGCACACTGTTGCCAGGTTATATTTGCTTTTATTAAGCCCTTATATGTGATGTTGGGTCCTGGATTTCATGAATGAGCTGAGAACAGGAAGATTACATTTATTTTTGTTCATTAGCAAGAAGCTGCTTTTTTTTTTTGCTTTTTAAGACTTTCTCTTAAGAATCGTTTTAATACATCCCATCATATAATAACAAAATGTTTGCAGTTTATTCATGGGTTGTCCTAGTTTTGCCACAAGTGGACTGCGTAAGCGCCTGTCGCGAGTACCGTTTCCTGACTAACCACCTAACAGAAACCGGGAAACGGGCTTTGAGAAATTCTAAGGTTTGTCACGGAACTTTTCTTCACATATTTCAAATGTCCAAACTGGCATGAGTTGTTACCACTGAGTTGAAGCACGGATACAGTCGAAAGCTGCAAGAGTAAAATCTGAGACGTTGAGAGTAGAATTTATTTTGTCACGTTAGTTTACCAAGGTCAAGAATATGCATTCATAGAAACCGAATTAAAGAAAAAACTCTTGAGAGGAGAACTTAAATAAAGCGCTCTCAATAGCTCTGTATTAATTATGAAGCATTGTACTTTGAACTGAGTGTTGTTTTTTATTTTGACTGCATACTAGGCTCTTCTCAATCTGTCTGTGGATCCATTTGTGGGAGTTGCTGATAGCGCGAAAAAGATTGTAAACAGTATAACCTTAAAGGTAAGAAACAATTGGAAATTGTGAAATTCGGTTGATAGGTCATTAAAATTTTTACTGTCAGTTGTGTGAACAGTGTTGCGCTTTTTGCATAAGCTCAACTGGGCAATGCCGAAATCTACCAGTCATAGCTGAATGTTCACTAGTTTACAGCGAGAGTACTTCCTACAAGTATATCTAACGTTTTCAGAATGTGCAGTGTAAAGAAATCTTTCCGCACTTTTTTTTTGGTTTATGTCTAATAAATCTTATGAGGGCAATTTTTTTTAGCTTGCTCAAGTTCACGTGCAGTAATTTTTTCTGTATGCTTAAAAAATGCCGAAAAAATATAGAAAAGGCTGATGTGAGAATGTTTGATTGCAAAGTTGTCATTTCTGTGTACAAGCTCACTGCTATATTCTTATTTATTTTTTATTTACTGTCTTTTTTGAAGTAATTTAGTAATTTTTGACGAAAAGATTTTGTTTTCCGGCAGGCCACCATTGCTGCCTGTCCTCAGAGGATTGCGGCGGCAGCAGCGGGATCCAGCCTTTCTACATCAGCTCCGTCTTCACCTGGTAGATTTTCATATTTATTAGGATCAGAGTGAGTCAATTTTCTTTCCGTAATCAGTAGTCTAGATAGGAGAGACAAATATTCGGTTTTATCGTCACTTGATTATGACAGAAAGAATGAAAGCTGACGTCTCGAGTGAAAGCGCTTTGGAATATCAAGTTAGAAGAGGCTAGCAACCAAATCGTCGTTTAGCTTTTTAATCTTTTTACCGTGGTAAACTGACTTAATGACTCAGTTGATGAAATCAGTTTTGGAGATTAACTTTTCCCCTTATTTAAGAGCGAAACTGGGAGTGGCTTTTGACAGGATGAAGCATTTTCTATTTTAGCACTGTTTATAGTCATTAGTACTTTGTGAGCTGATTTTGTTTTGATGTCGTGTCATCTGCAGATGTGACTGTAATTGGTATTGCATTACAGTTCTATGTAAGCATCTTTTTTTGTGATTTTAGCCATGGTGTATCGCCTCCAGGCCACAGCAGTTCAAACGAAACGCCTCGCGCGATGAAAATGGATCCGACGCAGCCCAGAAGTTCCATTTCAGGTCCTCTGGGTCCAGGAGGATTTCCACATTCTTATGAATTCCACACAAAACGGAAAATGTTTGATAAAGGGCCTGAGGTTTGTTTAGCAATCTTTTCGTTGAGTGTAAAATGGTAACCGAATCTAAAGTAACTACTCCGACAGGTTGTACTGGAAGCAAATATTTGTGGCTAAGCTCTTGATAAAGCGTGGGTAAACGACATGCGACCACGGCACAACTGCTTGTGGTTTTGCTTCATGTTGTCCAAGGAAGTGGCGCCAATCATCAGCTTTTTAGCCAGTCGTAGATCAAAGCAACGTGAAACCAAAGCAATTGACGTAATTAAATTCGACTTACTATGTACACAGAAAAACGTAAGCCTTCAAGGCTTCCGTCTCCACTTCAACCATGTAAAAGATGAAGTAAGTGATATTTTCATGTCCAAAGTGGATGAGTCCATAAGAACGTTTCATAGAGTTACCTAGTGGGCGCATGTGAGCACATAAGGCTTGCGAGCGTTTGTAAATTCAAGTGGAGTGCTGTAGACGTGGTCTCAATTGATATAGAAACCTCTATATTCTAAGATGAGAACGTCTAAGAGGACGAGATATTCTCAATACTAAGTAGTGCGCGCGCATGAACAGCCAGCGTCATTCATGATAGCCGTCGTCATTCTGCTACGAGGTTTAGCGAGAATGTCGTAGGGACGGAAAAAGTTATCAAATGTTAGAAGGTTTATCATTCTGCAATGAGGAAAGGGCTTAATATCTTCCTTCAATGAAAATAACCTTGTTAATCTTTCTGGTGAAAAAAAAAGGAAATTTTTGAGCGTATGAAAAAAACGTCTCACACATCATGGCATTGTAGCCACGCAAGCCAACCGCCCGCAGCCTTTTATTCCAAATTCATAAAAATGTACACATAACATACCCCTAGAAAGGTGGGAAACTAAGAAAATTACGAAGTTGCACATTACACTTAAACAGCCTGCAAAACTGAAGACTTAGGGTGGGTGGGTGGGAAAGTCAGTAATGGCGGAGTCAAGAAAAGGAACTACCCGCCTTTCGGTCACATGACCTATACCCAGGCCCCCAGCGGTGTGTGAGAAAAGCATGTTTCACTCAGCCAGTGGAAAATTGCCCTTAAAGTCGAATCTCGTCCTCGAATCTTAAAGGTCTCTTACAGCAAAGGAGCAATGAACAGTGACTTTTATTCCAGTAGAATCAAGATGGTTGATATGTATATATTTTTGGACCAGCTGGGATTTCACATGTAAATCATTAGAGCTTATAATATAGGTTTTTGAAGGGCCGTATGGCGAGTGTTAATTTAGTCTTCATCTTTTCATCTTAAGCATACTAAACACCCGAGCAGTGCTAGTGAAGATAACGCAGATCAAGATTCTGATGAAGATGCCAGCTCTGTTAAGCCTCCTATGATCAGTACAAATTTTGCTGACTGGTGTGCAAGCTATTTTGCTCAATCCGTTATGAAGGTAAATTCCTCCACAATTACAGACTGAAAAACAACTTGGCTTTGTTGTTGCTGTTGTCTAAGTTTGGGAATCAATAAACATCTCACGTTTCACTCTATTAATTTTATACTGCAAAACAGCCCTTATTTTGGTTAGGTCAAGAAAGCGCGCGCGAGTGGTCAAACGAAATGTGGTCAAAATAAAAAGGAGACTTGTGCGCAATGCGCGACAATCCCAAGCCGGCGCCCCGCGCTTTGTAAGAAAAAAAGACTGTTTTGCAGTCTGAACTAATTTCTTTTCTTTTTTTAAAGTTGTCTTGTTCCTAACAGGAGCGTTTCTCAACCTTTCGATAAACAAACCACGTATTTATAAACGAAATGTTTTCTTTTTGTTTAGTTCATTACCCAGCCCACGTAGCAGCACAGTTTCTCATTTACTCGTGCAACTGTTGCCAAGCGCGGGACAAAATCTTTAACTAATACCACTGGAAAACGCGAATCATCACAACAAGTGATTTGCTTTCTATAATATTTGCTTGGGTAAAAACAACGAAGACACCCTACAACGTTTTTTTCAAGTTTGTTTCTTGTTAATTTTAGAGATAGACTTGTATGCTGGGACGTACTTAATAAAATTGAGGAACTGTGTTTTGATTGCAGCCCCCAGACGAACACGATCCTCAAAGTCAGCTTCATCTCGAAAGAGAATGGAGATTTGAAAGGAACTCAAAAGTTCGACGGGAAGCAGCCAAACAACAGGCTAGAACAGGTAAAGTTCTTTTCTGGTCTTGCCAACCAGCTTGGTAACAAAATTAACTGTTTCCCGAGGCATCACTCATTAAGTGTTAAATGTTTCACTCGACATGAAGAGAATGAGTGTGTGATGGAATCATCCTGGGAGCCACTTGGAGGTCGATGTTGACATGTGCACTGATGTATGCAAACATTTGTTTCATGGCTCTTATTAAGAACCGAGTTAAGTTATACAGTGAGTAAAAAAAGAGAGAGAAAGAGCGGTAATTTAAGAATAATTCAAGGATGAAAAAAACTTTGGTTTTTAAAATTAAAGCGAATGCTTGTTTAGGGGTTTAAATGCTGAAATTGCTGTGAAATACATCAGTAACAATCCGTCATGTTCAAATCACGAAGCTGTTTCGTCTTTGTTGGATTCTGAAGTGCAGTTTTCAACTTTGCAAGAAAATTAATCCTTTGAATTTGTATATTGCTTTTTTAAAGTCCCCTTTACCTATTAATCTTCTGTTTTCTTCAACTACAGGCAAAATAGATGACCAGATTTTTATCAACAAAAACACTAGTGCCCCAGGCGTATTAAGATTTCACCCCTATGAACCCTACCTCGCTGTTGCTGACAGGGGTGGTGTGAGGTATGCTTTCTTTTGTGCCTGTCCGGGGTGTGGTTAGGGTGTTATTTTTAGTCTTTAGAATATAACTGTCGTTTGCCGAGGACATGATAAAGTCAGGAATGTTTCTTCTTCGAGTAACTTCGTTTTCTAGCAAACCTTTCATTTGGCGATTTTGCATCTTGTTGGAGAAACATGAAGATGACTGTTGTCATAGCTGATTCTTATGCTGGCAAAGCAATTGTTCGTCTACTGTTCTAAGTGGCCGGTTTTACTGTATTACAGTAGAAACAAACCTTAGAATCAAACCTTACTTTCACACACACAGCAGTACTCACATATTTAGTACCATGTATTTCAGCGTCAAATTTACAATTTTGTACCCGCCTGCAGGTAGCTAGCCTGCAAACCACAGACGTATGAAACTAGAGCCGAAAAAACCGGATGCTCTCACAGGATAGCAGGTAGCCATCGCTAACGCAATTCTCACTGAATTCTTTTCGTTGGGTTTTTGGCAGTGTATGGAACTGGGACCAAGGCGTGAGGATAAATTACATCAACAACAACAACCCGAAGATTTCTCGCATCACTAGCATGGACTTCCTCAATGCTCATGATTTGACTCTTCTCTTAACAGGAACAGGTAAAGTGTACCCCTAACCCCTCCGTGGACGGATAAACCCTGCGGCTTAAGCTTAGTAAGCAAAATTGCACCACGCGCTATCCACTTCATCATTTAACAATAGTCAGTTTTGTTACATCCCAGTTTTGAAGTTGTTGCAAACTTAAGGCGCCTTAGTGATGTCAACTTTGTTAAAAGTACATCAGTAGTCTTGAAACTTTTCAACAGGTTTGAGTTATTTTTGTGTTGCAATCCATTGTTGTACCATTGCCGAGCGCTAAATGTTAGTTGAAAATTAGTTTATCCAACGTGAACTTGGAAGCAACAAAGTTTTATTGAAAAATTATTGTTATAGCTCTGAGTGTTATTTTTCAGACGATGGTTCTGTTCGTGTGTGGCGGAATATTGAAGGAGACAACTATAGTGATAAAAGCTTGGAGATGGTTACAGCATGGCAAGCCCTTTCAGGAATGCTTCCCTCCACACGAGGTATGACGAGGCGAATGAATTTTGTTGCTAACAAGATTTTCACTTCAAAATTTCAAACTCGCCCTGCAATTATTCTCATGAACACAAAGCTCTACGCCTAACTTTTTACTGCTTTCAAATAACCAGCACGAATTCATGGTGTAATTTCCAATGTGAAGAAAAAACACAGTGCATTCTGATGCCTTTACTCTCATACGGTATTCACTCTGTGTGGTTGTCTGTAGCCTGAAAAACAGCCGACACGAGACGCCTTCACTGGTTTCCCCGCGAAATAACGTCTGAGAAACGAGCGTGACGTGTCACTACCCAGATTTGGCTAGTGTTTCTGATTGGTCGTGACGCGTTGGAAACTTGCTTTAATCAATCAGAAGAACTACCTGATCTGGTTATTGACGCATCATCAGAAAAATCTCTTCGCTCGTTCCTCAGATGTCATTTCGTAGGGAAATCATGCAGTGTCGGTGTCGCGAGATGTCTGCTTTTTTCTCAGGTTACGTTATCGGGTGCAGGAGTTCCATCTTTGTCCTTTATTCTGACAGACAATATCGGCTCCCCTTGAGATAAGATTTGTGAAGTTGAAAGAGTGTAGCTGTTGTTTCGTTGCACAATGGCATCTATTTTAAGCTATTTTTGTGTTTTTCTTGTCCCCGCAGGGAGTGGTTCTGGTTTGGTGGTGGGCTGGGAACAGCAGACAGGCATCTTATTGGCTTCTGGTGATGTCAGATTCATTCGAGTATGGGACACACAGCGAGAGATGAGAATGCAGGTGGGACCTGGGAACTAAAATAATACCGTCTGTAATGTTATGAGGCAATGAATACAAAATATTTACGCGCAACTCTTTTGAGTAGTATACCACATAATATGCCACAAGAAAGCGTTATACCTATTTTAATACCATGCCATGGAACATCCATGTAGCTTGGGACGGCCGGGAAGGTTGGCTGTAATACTGTCGAATATGCACAGACTTTCCTTTATTCTGATTAGCTTAGTTTTCTTTAGCTTGCTATAAACCCCGAAATGCCTCGTGTAAATCATGCACCATTCTTCTGATTCCAGGTCATATTAAAACTTGTCCTCATAAATAAAATTCAGCAAAACACGCTCAACTCTGTCAAATATGACAAAAAATATGATAAATGATCCAGATCCAGTAACGTTTCTAGATAGAAGTAATTCACTGAACAGTTAATTCGGCAACAAAGCAAACCGAGTAAATTGACGCCATTTTTTTAATTTAATTTTTACTCTTTTTTATTAAAATTTTTTCTGATTGGTTGATAAAACTAGGGCGAGTCGCTTCTTATCTCTAATTTCGGTGAATAAATGTTAATAATCCTGCATTTGATTGCAGGATATTCCGACTGGTGCTGATAGCTGTGTTACCAGTTTAGCATGTGACTCGGTGGGAAGATCATTACTAATAGCAGGCTGTGGGGATGGCTCCGTCAGACTTTTTGATAGAAGGTTGCCACCTAGTGATAGGTAAATCCTGTATTGTAAGATCTCAGTTGGGAGATTACTGACTTTCTATTCCAAATCGCCTTTCAAGACCTTGTCTTTAAGGCTCGGTTCAGACGCCGAACTTTTCGTGAGCCGAACCTAATACATTGAATTAAGTGCATGAAAAGTTCGGCGTCTGAATCAGTTAGGAACGCGTGTTTCAATTTGGAAGGGCTTAGCCGTTCTTTTCGGCTAGCCCGGCAGGGGATTTCGCCTTTAGAGCGACTTTGGAACGGCTTTCATTCAGACGCCCAACTTTTCACGGCATATTCGGAACCTAATGCATAAATTATTATAACGTATCTTGTAATTAGTTTGACCGAAATGTGCATTTTTCTTCTTTTGAGTTTAGTTCGGCTGGAATTAAGATCGGCTTGTGAATTAATTCAGCCGGTCTAAATAATTTGGGTCGGCCTTAATTCGAATTAGGTTCGGCTCATGAAAAGGTCGGCGTCTGAACCGGCCTAAGTAATTCTCTGTTAGGCAGCCATCTTGTCTCACGGGACAGCCGCAATTGGTTCAGAGGGGTCCTCTGTGGGAGAATACAGTATAGGATTCTATTCGCGTGAGTCTTGATGCTAAGGGACCGCTTTCCTCCGAGATGAGTTAAAAATCAACCAGATTAGTTTGCAGGTACCAGTTAAGTGACCAAGCGAAATACCACGGCACTCTTTCCCTGTATGTTCATGCCATTCTTTTGGCTACTAAGGCTCTCATGCTTCAATGAACTACAAAAGGGGTCCTATGATTCCTTTCAAACCGCATAACTTCTTGTATGCTAACAGACTGTGTCGTAATTAGAAGAAAGAAATAACAATCCGTCTCTGATCTGCCGAAATATCACCTAAGCTGCTGGTGATAGAGAGATTAAGATTCACGTTTACGCCGAACGGCAAACGTGAATTTGTACCACGTGACCAAGTTTTCCCTTTAATTGTCGTTTACTGTTTATTAGTTCTTCACAAAAATAAGTAGTTTAACGCCATATTTATCCATAAGAGTTGTTCTGGACAGTTTTTATCTGCTTATTTTTTATTTTGAGAAATTCTCAACTTGAATCTGACGTTTGCCGTTTGCCGTAAAGCTAATACTGGGAGTAGGGGGTAGGGGGTAGGAGTAAGTTTTGCAGGAGTGGTCTAACATGGGATGCCTTTTATTTTTCAGCCGAGTGATGGCGCTCAGAGAGCATGCTGGGTGGGTGACGAACGTCTTTCTTCAGAGGGGTGGAGACTGCAACATTATCAGTGGAAGGTATCATGTGACCTGCCAGTACTGTGTGCATTTAAGACGTGATTTCTTAAAACACTTTTAGTTACCTCACCAAGTCTATTTTTATTTGTTTTTACGTATCTTGTTTTGAAATATCCAACCGACGATTTTTTAGGCTTATTTCGATGGAACTGTCATAAACGTTGGTGCTTTTTAGAATATAAAGCAATTTTGACTAAAGCAATAGTGACTGGCATCAAATTTCACCCAACAATATCACTGCAAAGTCAAATGTGCGGCTGAAGAGAATGAATAGAATGATCAGCACTGATAAAATGTCTTGATATTTGAGCAAATTCTCTCAAACAGTTCAATAAGAAACATAAAGAGAACAGTGAAGAGAATATGTATGTTGATATTGGGGCTAACTTTTTATTAATAATTGAATATATATTTTTTGTCTTTCAGTGTTGCTGGTGATGTTAAATTCTGGGATCCACGCTTCACAGAATCTGTGCGGACTTTGGAAACTATTGGAAACTCTGCAGCATTTGAGGTTCATCATCAAGCCAAGGTGTTTGCCACGTAAGTAAAACAATGTTTTCAGGAATCATTTCGCCAAGAAAATTAGTAGACAAGTCTATTCAAACCTGTATTAAGAAGACCTCTTTTTAGCGTTCATCCTCTATTAGGCGGTCACTTACCAGCAGAGTCCCAGGTCGGGGAATCATTTGCCTGTACGGTCACTTTGACAAGAGGTGTACCATACTAGTGCAATAGATACATTCTACATGGCGTTTAGTGGTCTTTTACTTCCTTTTTTGACACGAGAAGAGGTAGAGACACTCTTTCACCATCTTCATTTTCTTGAAAACTCTCAGATTTGTCAAACCTGTATTTGACGGTCAACTTGTATTGGGCAGTCACTAAGCCATTCCGAACGTGCGACCGCCTAATACAGGTGTATTTTCAACACGAAACTAAAGCTATTTCTTCAACCAATCATATAAGATGATGACAATTCAATAACGCAGTCAAGAATTCGGAGAAATTAACTGTAAAAAGGTGCAATTACGCTTGGATTAACTTCTGATTAGCTGACAAAGTAGTGTAGGTTTTTAAAACTTATCGCGAGGCCTCACAATGCAATCGCCAACCTCCCTTCCGACAGACCCCACCAATGAATTTGAATATTTTGTTTTCCTCAGTGGTTCTGCAAGCCAGATGATTAAAGTTTATAGTTTGGGTGGAGCAAATCTTAGTACTATAAGATATCACGACGGTTTTATGGGTCAGCGGATAGGACCTATTAGCTGCCTGGCGTTCCACCCTCACCGGGTAAGGATTAATTAGTTGTGATTAGCCTGGGTAGCATGGCGGATTTGTCGGGAGTACGACTGAACAGCGAAGCCGCAAAAACGCGCGCGCGAACGAGCGGCGAAGCGGTTTCTCTGCCCTCGCCCGCTTTTATTACAGTATTTAGCGCGCGCAACCAAAACCGCCATGCTACGCAGGCTTAGTTGTGAGAACAAATTCATGTTGTGTGGCGTGGGGCTCGCGGATGTTGCGTAATGAAAAAACAAAATGAATTTATTAAAGTCATTATTTCACGAGAGATTTTTGCAAAACACTGATATTGTATATTCTGTAGTGTATAAATAATATCAATTTTAGACCGGCAGTTCAATAACTGAAACAGTCTTTTATAGTTATATAGGAGCTTCAATAAGCGCTTGCTTGAATTTCTCAGTCGCTGCAATTGTCTCCCCGATTTTGTTACGGAAGGATTCATAGCGTTGGCCATTGTTCTTTAATTTTTCTTGTTAGCTAATTTAATATTTTTAAATGTCTTTTTTAGGTTCATCTTGCTGCTGGCAGCACGGACTCGTTTATCTCGATCTACTCGACTGAGAAAAAGCGGTAGAATTGAATTTATTATACATCATTCATTTACAGTGTACATAACAATGGCATATAGGATGAAAACAACTTCATCGAACATCTGGCTCCCTAATATTTCAGGTAACCATAGAAAACTGAAGAGAAATAATAAATTTGTTAAAATTTTCATAGTTTTGAATTACACCGAAAAATTAACCTTTATTTCTCTTCAGGTTTCTTGTTTCTCAAATATAAAGGATGGAGATGTTCTTCGGAGTTTTTTTCAGGCTATAAAAACAACAAAATTTTTCTATTTTATCTAAAATTGTAAATGCTCTCTAATGAGGCGACAGAACTCTCGAAAGGAAAACGGTGCGCTACATGAAATCATCAAGGTGAAAACTAGAGAAGCCTGACTTGCTAATTTTTTATTTAGCCCAAAGTGATTTTGGGCCCTAAAGTTAAACAGCGAAGGTCGAGTTTTCGCTGGTTGTCGTAGCTAAGCATTGAACAGTTGTATTTGTTTTTGTCAGCCAGTGGGTTTACTAGGTGCAGCAAGAATTCTCATTTTGCAGAGGATTACTACCGCCAAATACTTATTTTAGGGAATTTACGCCACGACGACGGCGACGACTACGAAAACGTCACTTAAAAAGTGAATTTGCTCTGCCGCAAACTTTATTACGCTTATTCCATCTCGTTTAATTCGTCAAATGTTGGCAATTTTTTTTGAGTTGAATTCTAAAGGACTGCATCAAAGTTCAGGAAAAAAAAAAAAGAAAGTTGTTGTCTTTTGTTCCCGTCTTTGACAAAACGTGAAATTAGGCAGTTTCACGTTTTAGTCGTGCCACGGCGACAGAGAAATGTACAAAAAGCGTGATGCACGTGTAAAGTTGTTTTGCTTGTCATGTCTAAACCTATTGGGTTTTTTGCCGTTCTCGTTGCCGTCGCCGTTCTCGATGCTTAAACTCCCTAGAATCATCCGAGTCAGCATCTAGTGAGCAGCAGACCATACACAACTTCGGCTAGATTTCGGAATAACTTTCGGGCCCGAAATGTCTTCGGAGCTTCATGAAACGCATATCGGGCTCACAGTGGTCTTCCCGAGCGTTTGCGATCTTTTTGAAAGTGTAAATCAAGAACTTAAGATCATTGTACAATCACCTTGTTACCTGATGAGAGAATAATTTGTACAGGCTGAAACCCAAACCCAACTTGGTTGTCAGCGAAGTTTGATTCGTTCTTGTAACATAGAAATTCTTGAAATCGGTCATAAATCCAATGGCTCGCTTGCAATTTGAATGTTTTTGTAAACACTGAAAAATAAGATTTCTAAACTTCCTTTTAAATTCTTATTACTTGTAATCCAGATGATCTCTTTCGACTTGGAGTAATGACACGATGTAAGCCATATTATACTCTAAAGTTTAAGATTTTGTCCCTATTTTTATACGGCAAGTGATCTTGCATAAAAGCGCCATATTTTGTGAATCGTCATTTCGTCAATCTAGCGGCATTTAAAGGAGTTCTTTTCACTTTTTATACCGCAGTGTCTCTTTAAGGGATATTCGTTATTTCGTAGCAAATCTGAGCAAAGGTTTATAAAACAGCGTTTGACTTTGAAAACAAGTTTTTAATACGTTTAAGCATGTCTGAATTTTTGTGAAAAAATAGTTTTTGTGAATTTTTGTGAATAAATAATATATGCCATAAGGTTCGTGTCCTAGTGTATGTAAGCTCAAAAAGTAGTTTAAAATGTGTAAACGTGGTCAAATATAACAGAAATTCTGTAGTTTTGTAAAGATAATTTCTTGGGAAGGAATAGCGATTAAAAAATTCGTATTTTCACTATCATTGTTGAACGTAGACTGCAAATTCATTATAACCAGCAGCTTACATTATCCAAGTGGTTAATGAACCCTGATAAATAAAAAAAAAACTAAAGGAAAGATTAACCGAACGGTTGACCGAGGTTGAAAACAAACTGACCGGAAGCGACAACTCTCCGTCCGTCTGTAGTAGTAGTTACAGTTTTTCGTGTCACGGTCTTCTTAGCCTTATGCCTGTGACGTGGGCAAAAGGGGGGAAGGTTGAGGGCGTAGGGTGGGGAAGCGAGCAATGTTCCTTGAGTTTAGCCGCCATCTTTGACCTCGTCGACAGAAAAACATAAACAATATAATGCTATCATTATTATTATCATTGTTATTATCATTGTTATTATCATTATTATTGTTATCTCGGAATTCGACACAGTGGTTATAGGTAATCAAGCAATCACTAACGCTTGCGTAGCCTTAACTTCAGACGCCTGTCCACATGTCTGAAGTCACGAAGCTCTCTGTAGCTATTTTCGGTGGCCTTTGAAAATACTTTTGTGATTGTTTTTAGAGCAAGGGAAACTGTTTGGATCATTCGATTACCGTATTTACTCGAATAAGCGCCGCGGCGTTTATTTGAAAGTTAGAGGCGACAAAGAATTGTAATAACTACGGTATTCCCTATTTAACAGAATTAACGTCTTTTGAGTTTGATTATAGCAAGGCCGCTCCGAGTGTAAATTTTTCTCTCTCACATGCGGCGCTTAATCCGGGCGGCGCTTATTCGAGTAAATACAATATTGTTTCTTTTTATCGTTCTGAGAGCTTCGTGGTATTTGACTTTGACTTTGACTTTGACTTTACTTGGCTTGGTGGTGTAAGCATGCATAAAGGCTCTTCTGCTCAATCAACTTCTGTGACGTAAGCCTTTAACTGAATGCTTTCTTTATTAACAATGTTTTCTTCTGATACTCAAATGACAATTTTTCCATCCTCCTGAGAAAACTTAATTTTTTTAGGAAAATAAAATTATCATCGTATTACACTTGATTAAATTTAATTGTTTTTTTTCCTTACAAGGAATTGACATAGTGTGGTACTTTTGTAGGGTCTAAGCTGATTCGGCCAATCATGACCAATATGTTTTTCCAGGAGCCCATGGTTTTTCACGCATGCGAGAGTTAAGTTGAACAAGCCGCTTGTCAGAAATTTGAAATTTGCTTCAAGATCCGCTTGTACCATTGATTTGTTCAACTTGGGCCCAAATTTGTAAGGTTCGAGAAATCGAGGGCACACTTTATTGTTTCTTGTGGTCGGTAAATGGCTGGAAAAAACTTGATATCGAGGCTCTTGTGGCTGATTATATCCCTTGTATTAGCCTCAATTGCATGCTAGTTCCAGTCCACTGGCGTGAATTCGGACATGGTCTCTTGGCTTGAAACGTCATCCTCGGAGACCAAGGGGCAGTCAGTCGGATCGGGAGAAAAGGCGGAACGAAAGTTTTCAAGTGCTGGCGAAAGAGCCCCTGGGTACCGACTCTCACCGAGCTATGTCCAAAACTTCAAGCGGATGCCGGATCCTAATTGGGCACAAAAACTGCTTTGTTTTGTTGTGCCCAATCGGCGAACAGTTTCTCCTAAGTTCTTTTCGTGAGTTCGTACACGACGGTTATTTTTTCGATCACGGCTTGTCTTCCCTGCTAGCAGAGGTCTCTCTGCTAGCAGGGAAGGCTTGTCTGGCTCAGGCACCAAAGAAATGCACGCAGTTAGGAAACTTTCAGTTTGATGTAAAATCCGCGTCTGATTTCAAAATACTGTCTGCCCGAAAACTAAAGACGGTTTTCCATAAATACAAGCTTGAGCCTACAACAGGTATTCACGCATGCATCGGTCACGTCTTGCGCAAATATTAGGGAATTTTTAAAAGATACCACGACGGCTGACAACCACGAAATCGTCGCATGGAAAAAGGAATTCACTTTTTTTCAGTTTCTATCCAACTCGCTTACTTTGTCAAATGCAATCATGCAAGCGAACTCTTCTGGAGCTGAATTTCTATCAACCATATCCAAGTACATGAAAAGAATGAATTTTGTCATTGCTAGTTTACATCCTTCACAAAACATGAAATTAGGCATATTCACGGGTAGTCGTGCAGTTGAGGGCAAAGAAATGTACAAAAAGTGTATTGCACGAGCAAAGTTGTTTTGCCTTGTCAAGCTATTGCTTATTTGACTTTCTCGTCGGGGCCGCATCTTTACCTTCCTATTATTTACGATACACTGTGATGAGTCAAAAACAAAATGTTCTCGGGGCAAATTGAATTGCTCCTGCTGATAGCATCCAAACGTTTTTTCGACTCATCGGTAGTTCCTTCGTTTCTGGTTAGGAAAGTAGAAAATAAAAGTTTCCTTTGTTCGCACAAGCTTGGTGAACGAACCGTGCAAATGTGACAAAACAATAGCCGTTGTGTACGAACTCACGAAAAGAGCTCAGGAGAAACTGTTCGCCGATTGGGCACAATAGTACAAAGCATTTTTTGTGCCCAATCAGGAGCCGGCATCCGCTTGAATGTTTGGAAATAGTTCGGTGAGAGTCGGTACCCAGGGGCTCTTTCGCCCGTACTTGAAAACTTTCGTCACGTCCTTTCTCCCGACCCGACTGATTGCCCCTGGGTCTCCGAGGATGCTTGAAACGTTTGATGCTTAAAAAAGTAAGGCTTTCAAAAATTGGGAAAGAGGGGTTAGATAACAGTGTTGACTGTGTCAAATCTAAGATAAAAATAAAAAGAAAGTTTGGAAAATCAGTTATCCAGTGTCAGTTAATCACTCCCTTTTACAACTGTGCCGCTACTCTGCTGCTTTGTGTAACTTTTAACATAACCTTTTCGACAATCGTTAATGTTCTACGGACATCGAGTGGACTTTACTAAGCTAGTAGTACAGGTGACTAGGTGCATTACATAAACAGCACCGAGTGAGATGTAGATTGAACCTGCCCCAGTTCAGACTTGGTGCCTGGCTCCAGCTCAAGTCAGTCTGGACGCAGTGTAACATGAAAGCGAGATCAAAGGGCCACATCGCAATTAAATTGTATAAATTGGAAGAAGCCCACCCTACAACCAAGACAAAAAATACTTCTCACAAATGCTGCGCTGCTGCGCTTTGTAATGATCGTTCCGATAATAGGAAAGGCTTGACTTTTCATGTATTTTTAAAGGATCTTCTCGAAGCTCCAGGAATATCTTTTGGGGTTACTTTTTAATCTGAATCACAAATCCTTCTTGTTTTCGCCGGCGTATTTACTTTTTTTACGTTTGCAGGAAATCTGATGGTCCTAAGGCCTCGCTTTCATGCTTACGTCGTAAGTGTGTATTACCTCGTGACTCAACAAGGCGGAGCAGGCTTGGGTGTGTGTTTTTAAATTGAACAAAATGTCCTTAAGCCTCGCGCCTTCGTTGGATGTTCTAAAAAATTCCTTGGGCCTCTTGGTTCAATAAGGCACGAGGAATAAGTGTGTGTGTGTTCTCTAAATTTTTGTATTAAATGCGAATTGGGTGCACACACGATTGAGAATGTGCGCTGCGTTTTCCGAGGAAATGTGTGAAATTTATTTTCACCGTTTTACAATATTGTACTTACTCGAACTAACGCCGCGGTGCTTTTTAAATTTTTCGCCCACTCTGTGCGGTGCTACCTATTTGCGAATAACAGAACTATACGTAATCTTTCTTCGTGCTTTGTCGTGTGTTCAATAACAACAATAATGAACTTGTGCGAAAGGGCCAGAGAGGAAAGACGGCGGTAAACCTTGTGTGACAAGCGCGACAATAATCTTGTTTCAAAAAACCTTCCGCCAAACTTCACTTTCCTTTAAACAGATCTTTTTGTAGAAGAGCAAAAAACATCAATGTTAAGTGAATTCCCGACAAAACACGCGAGTAATAGCCCCGTCACGTTTGTCACACTCAAGCGTTTCGTCGTCCTCTTCTTGCGTAAACTCCCTAATAATAGCATTGGTAGAACGTAATAAAAGGTAATTTTAAAAGGTTGACGCCCTGTTAGATCAAAACAAATCGCAATAACTGCTCTAATCTGCATTAACAATGCCAAATAATACTCGGTACGATATTGGTGGAGGTTGTTGCACTCATTCGAGTGATTAAAAAAAACGGGAATTTTAATAGATGCGACTGAGGAATACCTGGTAAATCCTGACTAAACAATTAAACGTAGATTCGTAAAAATTAAATACCTTAAATGTGAAAGTATTTTTCATGAAACAGATAATATTTAAGAGCGAAACAAAAAGGAGTGATATGAAATTTTAACCTATGTTAAGTAGAGGTATTTACTTCCTGGTACAACGGAGGCCAGGACTGACAACCACACTGATTCAAACCTCTTAAAAGAAAACGATATACAAACATAACGGGTTATGAACGTCATTTCTTCGTGCCATTCACTGTATTTGTCATTTACGGTCTTCAACGGGATTCGAGCCTGTGAGCTCCGTGTTATTATCGGATGCTCTACCAACTGAGCCACAGAGTTCTGATGTTTCGAACTGGTCAAATGTGCGCGCATTTACATTCATGTGCATCATCAAGAGATCATAATAGTCCTATTATGATATTTTATTCATTTCGTGTCATATTGTTATGTTTCATACTTGCAAATCATTCACATTCATTCTTTTATGTTTCTCATGCATTCACCATTTTAAAAAAGTTTGTTGTTATGTTTTGCAGGCATGGGCCTCCTCACACAGTGAGTCGAAAAATTTATTACGAAATTAGCCGGATATAAAGACGTTACTATTCCATCTGTAAACTCATCTTTTTAGACCTTCGTACCAAAGAAAGCCATTTTTGCTTCATCTAAATCAGCGTCTTGTACGTGAAAATGTTTTAAGATTTAGTAGACGTATGACACAAGCTTATCCGTAAGTGAAAACGTATAGTGACATGAACTGGAGAGTTCCTTTTTAACTTTGATCGTTCTTAAATAACTTTGGACCAGTTTCACGAGGGAATTCACGACGCAAGCAGGAGGTCAACACTGGAAAAAAGAGATGTTATTTTCTTTCCTACAGGCTCCTTTGTGCTCTTCCTCTGCTTGGATCGCACCACCTTGAACATAGTTCTTTTTTTTTTCTTTTTCTTGTTTTTGTCACTTAATGTGGGGTCGTAGGTCGTTAGGCAAGACAAGTATCCCACTATATGGCCGTTAATGCCTTTGGTGCCAGCAACACTCAGGGCATAGTATGTTAGACTTTCACAAATACAATCTACTTAATCGATTAACACCAGCATTGTAAATCAAGGTTCAAATTCACTTGAAAATTTTTATACATGTAATAAAAAGTTTCCACAGTTTTTTAAAACCTAAACACTAGGTTTTTAAGACCAAAAAAAATATTTGTTCTTCGCAGGCTGCTCAACTTCGATAAAAAGGTACTGGGTTTTCTAAAATGCGAGAAATCCATTGTCAAATTTGCAAAATTAAAAGATACTTATTATCTTTTCCGTTTTTGGTGGGGAGACAATACGAAATATCTGAAAAACATTTGGAGAATTCTCACAAACCAAGCCTGGGTCATCCGTTATGTTCCTTGTGATTTAAACTTAATTTAATGATATTCAATTTTCCTAAATTGCGTACAAAACAGAAGAAGCTTTATCACATACACTGTATATAGCTGTAGTTAGTTAATGAATACGAATCGGTGGAATTATTCATTATTCCTTTTGAATTGAACTGTTTTGTTAGTCTTAGCGTCCATCCTTTTTGTCCCATGTTTAGCGTGGAACTTTGTCTTACAAAAAGTTAAAAATGAAGACTTGGGCACGCGAACACATTGTGACTTTCTTTTTCTGAAATAATAGCCAATGCGAGTTTTTAAAATATCTTATCGAAGTTCAAAGAAGTAACTAATATTAACACTAGATTCTGATAAATGGAATGAAGAGATTAAAAAACAAACAAATCCAACAACTAACATTGGTTGATGTCGTATTTGTAACACAGATCCCTAGACTTCACGTGACACAAAACTAGCACGTAAATATTTTAAAACTGACAGAAAACTCGTTTCGTTGATGGTGACTCTTCCGGAATAATTCAGAATGTATTCCTGTTACAGAATAAAGTCAATCGAACTCACTTAAAGCCCATTTTACAGTTGTAGGTGGAAGCGAGGCCGGAGCTGACCTTGTTTTGATACAACACTTCCTGTTTTATTATAATGTAAATCACTTGTTCTTATGCTAAGGCCCCGTTCGTGCGGAGAAAACTTTTCCCAGGAAGAAGGATCACTCGCCTTCCCGAGCTACCCTGGGCGAGCAAACTTTTTATCCATTTCCTTACAAAACTTGGTGAACACTTAACTTGAGAAACGGACAGTTGGCCCGGTAGAAGGGTGACCCACGAGCCGGGTCATTCTTTCTCCATGGTAGGGTCACTCCTAGCCGGATCAACTCTTTCTCCACATAAACACTTCGACTATCCCAGGCGGGCAACTCAGTCAAGGCGAGTATCAAGGACTAAGGGTGGGTGGCACAGTTGGTTAGTGCGCGGCCTTTGGTGCGGGATGTCCCGAGTTCCATCCCTGATGATCGACCTCAAGTTTTTTAGTTATTTGTCACGAGTTATCGACGTAAAATATGGTTCCTTTACCTTTTATCAGTTCTTGGCTCGAGAACAGGGGTCATCTATTTTTTCATATAAAAGCCTGCTAAAGATGACTCGACTGAGAGGGTGACCCTTTTTCCCTGGCCAACGCTTCTCAAACGGGGCGTAAACCCAAGACTGTAAATTGCTCTGATGGGAACCTGGTATTGTATGAATGGTCCTGAAAGGGTTTCATTGACTCGCATTTCACAGATCAGTTGTGGATCCCGGGGCGGTGCTGGGAGTCCATACCCGCTTACTTAAATTTGCATCTATCACACCCATCAGACCAGAAAGATTTTAAGTAATTTTTATAATGACCGTTTGCTTCGAAGCTGAAATTGTTCCAACTTAAGGATCGCAAACAAGGATCTAGACTCTAGGTAGTTACAGTACGTTTACTAGAAGGTAAAGTGTGGCGGTGAAGAAGGATTTCAAATCATTCCGACAAAGAGCACGAGTTAAAACCTCCCGGGATCCACCCCTGACAAAACTTAGTTACAAAGTGTCGAAGTTTCACTGAACTAAGTTGAAAAAAACATCTGATACATTTTTACGTCTATCCTTAGATAACATTTGTCATTTACATATCAATTAAACGCACATGGAGTTGCGTTATTTATGTCCATTCTGTAGTTGTGCTTCTTGAGGTTGGAGGGGAAACTCTCTGAGGGGCTCTTGCGGGCTCTGAAGTCGGGGGACGGAAAAAAACGACAAGCGCTCTCCCTATTGTTTCGCTCGCCCGCAGATCCCCTCACAGAACGTGCTGCAGGCTAGGAGAGAGGACATACCGTATTTGGTTACAGTTGTAACGTATCAAAGCTAGTACCTATCTGTGCTTCTAAAAGATAATTCGAAGAGCCGCAATACTTCAGTTTATTTCTTTTTAATTTGTTGTATTTTACAAGAGGAAATAAACGGACGCTTGGAGACGCGAAAAACCGTGAAATTGTTGCATGAATGAGATATTATTATCGAAAGTGTTTTAAGTGAGCAGCTTGACTTCCCTACTCAGGAAGTACAAATATACGGAAACTAATTAAAAGCGAACTTTCACCATTTGCATTTTTGAAAGTTGGCAATGCGACAAACAAATAAAGGAGGGGGAAAAGACTTACCATCTGTCTTTATTTTTGAATACTGTTCATTTGTATTTATTGGGAACAAAATTTGCCAGCTTTTGGACCCGTTTGTAGGGCAAAGGTCCACCAAACCATTGAGCCGCGGGGTTTGTCCCTTCTCCACCTTTCACGTGCGATCAGGCGGTCCTTCTTCTCTTATTCTTTTAAAAAAGGACGCCTGCTCGCAGGTTACCAGGAACATTTGTCCAGTGCTAGTCTCCCTGATAAAACAAAACACAAACAAAATGTATCACAATTATCCAGTGTTCCATTCAACCTTGGACCCTTGTGGCGTTGCACCGTGAATTGACGTCGGCTTCCACGTGATAGGTCATGAATACGATGCGGATTTGCTCAACTGTTAAGCGAGTGCAAAATGCAGTGAGAGCAAGTGTGAAAAACGGTATTCACCTTGCAGCGTTTCATTGGGGCCCGGATGAGGAAAGTCGCCTGTAAAGTTTGCATTCTGGTCAAGGCATCTCTTCGCCCTATCCACTAGCTTATTTGGCCTCAGTTGGTGTGATCTGTTTTCATAAATTAAAAAGCTTGTTGTCTCCAAATTAAGAAAGAAAGGCCGGTCGGGAGATCTTCAAAGTGTATTTTGGCCACAAAACTGTCTGTTGTCCTTGACATGCATATATTCGGTGGCACACCCCCTCCCAACCTTCCCACCCCCACCCCCTCCCCGTATCCCGCTACTTCACTTCAGAATGTTCTTTTTGCTGGTTTTTTATTTGTCCTGCTTGATTGTGTAGTCGTAATTTACGCAAGGCCCCTTTTGATACCAGCCAATGGCTGAGAATGTTACCCTGGCCAAATACTCGACGATATCATTTAATCAAAATCAATAATAAAACGCATCAATAATGGTCAATAAAAATCAATAACAATTAATTGATTGATATTGTAAATCAAAAAAATCAAAGCCGCAGTCTTGAGTGATCTTTGATTTTCATTTATTTTTATTGAGGGGTCAATAGAATGGTAAGTTCGAGGCTTTGAGAGACTGTGGGACCCTCACTTTGAGAGACTGCGGAGACCGAGACTTGTAAAAAATCCAAGCCTGAGACTCTAAGTGCCGAAGATCTCGAGGTAATGGTACTAATAAAGCTAAATAAAATGTCGGAAAACGCCAATAAAAGCAAGCGGTTTCACACCAATAGTACTCGTCTGCTTCAGCCTAGCCTGACACCAAACCTTGCTCCTACCTGGATCTCGTACCATGTATAAAAACCCGTTGATACTTATTTAAACCAGGAAGGCTAATATATAATAACGCTTTTTTGAATGCCAACAAGTCATTTGAGCACGCGCAGCTTCATGTGGCTTTCATAAGAACTACTCTCGAAGACTGATTCGCGCTCGGAAGAAAACTGTTGGCTTTTTCAACAATGGAAGAAGCACCAGTGAGCGAGGGTACGTCGGTTTCAAATGTTTCTGGGAAGAGGCGAAAGCGAAGATGTAAGTTCATTAATTGCATGTTTTACAGCTGGCTCTAGACTACGAAAAAGTCTGTATTTTTGCGTAGTCAAGTACGCGCGAGCAGTCAAACAAAAGGTCTGGAACGAGGCTGAAACCAGAGAGTGAGACTGGGGAGAGATGCTACGGGCGTGTGAGGCTCGCGCGCGTAAGACTCTTACGCCACGCTTTACCGATTTCTTTACTGATTTTGAAAAAAAAAAACGACTGTTCTGCAGTCTAAGCCGGCTCTAGCTAACTGGATTTCTAGATTTCTGTCTTAGCTTGAAATCAATCTCAACCCCAGAGCTCTTCTGCGCATACTATTGCAACTTGAAAAGGAAGCGGTGATTTTCACATGTTGCCTAAAAAGAGGTAATCATCGCCCCTTTTGCAGTCCTAATGCTTTTCAGAGCGATTTTGATAATACCCTGCGAAAAAGTAGCCTGCGAGAGCATCCGTTTTTTTCGGCTCAAGTTTCTAGTTTCACCCGACTAAAAACTTGAGCCGAAAAAACCGGATGCTCTTTCAGGCTAGCGAAAAAGGTGCTGTCTTCAAACTCGCCCCAGTCCCTTAGCGCAAAATGATCATTTGAAGCCGAAATTGTCCACAAGGAGAAAAAAATCTGGATGGTAGAAGTTGTATTTTTTTTTACTTATGAATGACTCGAATTTCCGTATTTGGAGCCACGGAGAAGTAGGAAATAATGTTTAACCTGTCCATTTCTCTACATTTTTTCAAGATCGGGTAATTTGAGGTTACTTAACTGAAAAAATAAAGCCCAAAAAAACAAACCGGGTTAAGGTTTTAGTCCTTTAAGCAGACTCTTCGAAGATGGACAAACATGCTTTTTGGATCAGGCAACGCACTTTGGGTTACTAAGTTAAGAATTGATAGTGTTCATGTTTTGACGGAGAAAATCCCCCCGGGGGGAGGGGGACTCCCTTACATTTGCCTTATGGGTATTGGTCTGAAATAGGGCCGGGATTTGGAGAGCCGGACGGCACACTCCCTCCACCCCATGCGCCACGAATTCCCAGGAATACCTTCCCGGGAAGAAACTCGAAGGTATTTTATAAACTGGGCCCGCCGTAGGCAAAAATATAGACATAAATAACAAAACAGCAAAGAGAAAAGCGACTCGAGGTTTCCCGATATTTCGGACGGACAAGCAGTCCTCACAGGGGACTTAATCGGAAACCGGCGTAGGCAGCCCAGGTAATAAACCAATTACGTTTTCATGGTCCGATCTCCGTTCAAGAAATTAAAAAGAGCAACTGAAACACAGCACAAAAACAATTTATTATCTTCCTGCATTGACAGCAAGCAAAAACCGTAACTAAAATGTACTATAAATAGATGCATACGAATGGTCCTTAATGTTTAACTGGGCATGACGTAGTACATCTATCGAATTATTTCTGTTATTTGCTACTCTGCGAGCACTGGTTTCTCCAGGCCGGACGCTAGCTTAGCGTCCGGCCCGGAGAAACCACTGCTCGCAGGGTAGTTATTTGCTGAATGTATCAGAAAAATCTTTAAAAAAGCCACGTATGAACAACATACACAAACATACGTACTGGGATAGGCAAAATTGTAGGGTCCACGAGAAAAACACAATCGATGAAAATCAATAACGTTAGACGCATACCTGAGTGATTATCGATTTTTCTTGATTGGCTAAGTTAATCAATATCAATAAATAGACTTTTATTGATTTTAATTGATAATATTGATTTTGACCGATTGGTATCGTCGGGCTAAATAAGGTTGACTTGACTTGACTTGACTCATTTATCGTACCGATATCGTGGGTTGCTTAAAACTATAACATGGACGCTCTTACGGCGGCAGTCTGTCTCGCTTGCTTGGAGATTATATCGAGAAATGAGGAGGCGATTAATTTGACACGAAACAGGATTTACTCGCTAAAGGTTTTTTACTTCCTACTTTATCGACGTCGAGTATTCTACGCGATATTTACTTTTTATTTGTTTCTGAACTGATACTTCTACGGTCGCAGGCTATAGGCGTGTATAAATGCACGAAAATTCAAGGGTATGGTGGCCCATTATCATCATAGAAAAACTAACTAGAAATGCCTGTTTTATTTAAGAAAATTGAAAACATATTTAAAAAAAGATCAAAATAAATAAATAAATATACATAAATAGAAAAATACAAAAAAATTATTAAAATAAAAATCAAATGAAATTTGAATTTAAAAAAACTAAAGAAACTAAATGAGAATGTAAATAAATTTCCACCAAATGCTCATCACAAGACACAATTGCATTCCATGAAAGTTTACAACACCCGACCATCGCAGTTTTGCTAAAAAAGATTCTTATTTTTTTTTCGACCACTCAGTAGTGTTCACTTGTACCAAAGTAATCAACTCTTTCAAGCGATAGAATTCATGGACCGACAACTTCTGGAAAAGCTCTAAAAATTAAATTTTCCCAAGCTTTCTTCGCAAAACATGCGTGGCTTCCTTCACCCAACGATTCTTACTCCCAGTTTTCACGGTCTCGCAAGGAACGCCTGGCACAATGAATCCCTTTTGTGTCATAAATACGAAGAAAAACGGGTTCCAGATTATGAGGCGAGACTAAAAGGCAGGTGACTAATGATCGTACATTCTAGTAAATCCTCGAGTGTTAAATTTGCAGTCAGTTGTATTAAATATTCGAAAAACTTACACTCCTGGCCTTCACCTTCGTTTTAATAAAGATGATCTCCAGGCTTCTTGCAGTCTCATAAGTTCCCGCCTTGAGCTATTCAAGATTATAAGTTATATTAATCTTGTTTAAAAGTCAGTTGAAAGTTTTGTCTACAAATCTCAATTAGTCAATTAACAGTATATACGCTTTCAGGCAGGTGATTCTTTTAAAAACGTATTTCGAAGGATACTGAGTATATTGCGTCGAATTGGAGTCATTTTCCAACAAAAAATGACGGGATTAATGGAAGAATTGAAAAACACCAGCGTCCATGAAAAGGTAAACATGCCTTCAATAACTGTATTTGGCTTTGCATATATTTCACGAACAATTGAGATGACTAAATGAGGCAGGTAGCAAACCCAAAAGAAAAGATAAATCAGTAGGGTGCCAGTTGAAGACTTCCCGCTTCCAGATCTTGAAACTTTATTTTCAGCGCTTTGCTGAAGTTGATGTCTTCCGTTCTCCATTTCCTTCTTGTGTCGTCTAAGAGTTACATATATCTTACAGGAAGTTGCTGTCGTGACTAGAAAAGAGACTGAATCTATAATTACTAAAAACACGAAGGCCGAATAAAGTGGAACGGCTTTGAACATATAGCAAAGAATGGAAAAAGTCGCACTCACTATCCAGATAACCATGATGGCTCCAATAATTCGCTTGTGAGTCATTATAGTATCATATCGCAAGGGCATCTCAATGGCGATGAATCGATCAACACTTATCGCCACGATGGTGGACAAAGAGCACATAAAAAGTGTGCTCACAACAGCATCATTGATTCTAAATGCGAAGTTAGTGTCACCATTTGGAATCTTGCATCTTATCTGGCCCACCAAATGAGCGATCTGGAATGGAAAACCTAGAAAACCAACACCGAGGTCTGAAACCGCCAGACTAAAGAGCAGTGTTTTCAAAGGTTTCGATAGCATGGACGTTTTCATCAAAGCGTAAATCGTCACGACATTCATCATTGTAGTTGAATAACAAAGAAAAGCGCTGAAGGCGATATTAATGACAAGAATGGAATACATCGGATTTTCAGTTGCTTCGGAATTTGATCGAGTATCATTCGTTCGTTGTATATGGCAAGAGGAGTTCGCCATAGTTTACTGCCTTGTACATGAATTGAGACAATGGATCTTTGCAGCTTTTTATAGGTGGAAAAGTGCAATCCCAGATGTTTGCAGGTGTATTTAAACTTGTCGACTGAGAAGGCAGCTTTGTCAGGCTTCACGCCGATCAATTTTATGTTTTGCTGCCACGCGATTGGTCATGAAAAGTACAAATACAATTAGTAAGTGTATTTTTTCTAATGAACCGCTTTCGATTTTGTTTGCTACGTTTTAATTTTGATAAATCAGGGGTTTTGATTAATTAACTAGGTTGAATCAAAATCAGAATCAAAATTTAAAATTAGTACCCTCTCAAAGATATTTTGAAAACACACGATCAAAAGGGAGGTGGAAGATGAATTCATCTGCCAATCTTATCAATGTGAAAATTGCCCACAGACACGGTATGGCTCCACAGTAGACTGCTTAATAATACTCCTACGCAAGAGTGAAAAGTGATATACATGGAAATCACTTTTAGACTGCGTTGAGTATAAACTATAGAAAACAAGAACAACAAAAAATATGGCCAGGGGCTCAAATTCCTCGTCTTGGAAATTAAACGCGTTTAGCTGCTGTAGACTACTATCTCGTTTATAAGTAAATATATACAGAACATTATAGAAAGTCTGTTGATTATATATTCCAAGCTTAAGGAATCGCAAAAGTGTTTTTAAGTATCTTTTTTGCGTCATAATTTAGTTTTGGAGGCTCCAGTGGTCTGACTGACAAAGGACTGAAAAAAGGTTTTGCTGAATTTGAAACATCTTCTCATTCAGTCTTTGAGATAATTGTCAATTTTAATTTTCGAAACAGACACAAGAAAAAATCCACTGGTCAATTTTCAGAGTGTCTTCAATATTGAGCGTCTTTGGCAAACAAATACAGATATGGATCGACAACTTTAATAAAAATAAAACGACGTGACATGAAATATTGACACTGAAACAAGGCAGATATTTTCGGCACTATAAAGGAATCACACTTTCCATTGCCTTGATTTTGCTTTTATCATGTAGATTACACATTGGCTTATAAATTAAGGCAGCTTTAAAACAGTGTCCTGATACTGACGATTAAAACGTATTTGCAATGCGCAAAAGTCGGCCTTTACAAGGGTATTAAAATAGGGGCTAAAAATGGAGCTTCCAAGAGACCTCAAATTCATTGTATATCTAACACTGACTCAAGAATACTGAAAAGTTTGAGAATAACAGTAACTTTGATGTCAATGGCACATCGTTTTTAGATAGATAGACAGGTAGATAGACAGAAAACTTTATCAATGTGTCGGAGCCCTATAGCTTGGGAAAAACCCCATACTCATTTGGGGACACAATTTATGATTAAATCATTAGAATTACCTATACAATATGAAAGTAAAAATATTTAAACTGGGCATAATATATTGCAGTCTAATGATAATCTAAAATGACTGAGAGAGAATTGTAAAATTATATGATTATGATGAGCAGAGAGAACAGCTCATACCGTAATTCCAAGCATGATTTCTTTCTAGAATGACCCGTAAGTACCATTGCATATGCACTTTGAGCACACAAGCAATACACGTACTTTTTAAAAAGCTGATATACACCGATTTCAATTAAGGTTGCTCCCGTGAACCATGTTTCATAGCCTGCAGTGCACTATGGTAAACCCTTTTGGAGCGGGAAGTTTAGTCTAGTTCACTCGTTCATTGAAATAATGGAGACCATTTGTGAAAAGGCGTTCAAGAAAGCTTTCAAGTCAAATGGCTGCTAAAATTCTTAAGCATGAGCGAGCGGAAAAATTTCATTTTTAAAATCTCATAGTAAAAAAATCGAATCCTCTTCGTTATACAGCATTAAATGAATAGGGTTTTACCGCCTGATTAAGCTGCGTTTTTGCATGGGCCACTGAGAATGCTGGTTATTTCAATTAAGCAAATCAACGCTATTCTTTTTTATTCAGTTTAAAAAAAATTGCCTCAAAAATGGATAAACACGTAATTTTAAGTTATTTATTGTTGTTCAACAAACGCCTTGAATCTGTTTTTTTTTTTTAAACTCCATCCCACGTGCACGAGCCAAGCAAACTCGTTGAAAATTTGCAGCATTTGCATATTACCACAGAGAAAAACCTAACCTCAAATCACTGTCTTAAAATTAAAAAGCCTAGTATTCAGTGTTTTAAAATACATTGTCTTAACGTTCTGTTGACATAGCACTGAGAAGCGTTAGCAGCGTTTGCTCTCTAGGTTTCTAGGCTCGTTACAGGCGCATAATTTACTAGACTTGCTACAATAATGCACCGCGGGCTATGAAACATGGATCATGCATCATTCTTCTCAGAAGCAACCTTAATTGAAATAGGTGTATACGCACGCCCCAGAAGAATGACTAACTATAATTGGTCTTGACAAATATTTTCAGTATATTGTTAACCTCCATATAACGAAGTCCTCAGTATAACAAACAATATTCCTTGCCCCCGTAATAGCAAAATGTCACGGAAAAGAAACTCGATATAACGAAACCTCGTTATAGCGAACATAATTTTTCCACTCCGTTGGCCCTTCGTTGTATCAAGGTTCCACTGTTCTGTAGCATCATATTTTAATCTTCGACTCTACTGACACATGTCCATCAGTGGTGACAATATAAATGGTTCTCTGATCCAAAAAAAATACCTTTGGCAAAGAAGAAAATGTTACTTTTAATCAATCGCTGGCGGCAATTTTTATTTGTTAATTTTCTTCCATAAACAAAGCTACCCGCACCTAATTCAAGACACAATTTGAGGCTGGAAAATCCAGCTCTTAATAACTGTCTTGCTAAGCTCATTAGTTTTGTTCAGTCGAGTTCTCCCGCTGTTAATCCGGTATCCCTCACAGAAACAGTTCCTTTTGATGTTTTTAATTAAGTTAGCCGACTCTGCAGCTGATAATTCTTAACTGCCTTCAAGCTAATTCTCATGTTTAAAGGTGATTAAACTAAATTGAAATTAAAACAAATATTTTTTATGTAAGGATATATAAAAGGAAATGTCATATCCCTATCGAGGACGCTCCCTACATAAAATATAAAATACATATACTACAACGTAAAATTTAAGAATAATTAAGAAATGGCTAAAATAATTTACAAAATTTTACAATACTTTCTGATTGATTTGAATTATAAACGTAATGAATGTGTTTGGCTCCAGGAGATATTTTTTGTTATACATTTAAAGATTCTACACGGCATATCAAAACGTAACCATGGTAACCATGTCAACAGATGATCACAAAAAATGACAGCACTTAAAATCTAAAACCAAACCTTCTAACGAACCCTTATCTTGAATTATACGTTATGTCGCGGTACGTCGTTATGTATGCTAATTCCAACCAAACTTAAAGTGATTGCAGCAATTTAAATCAACCGCTTAAAACATCATGATAAACATAGCGGTCAGATAAGATTGGTTGTTTCCTCGTTAGCAGCTCAGTATTATGCCTCGTTATCATCGATAAGTTGCATGTCTGAAGGAACAGCCTTAATAGGGAGCCGAGCTTAAAAAACAAGGACAGCGACGGCTACGAAAACTCCTCTTAAAAAGTGAAGTCGCGCTGCTTCAAACTTATCGCCCTTATTCTATCTCGTTTAATTTATCAAATGTTGGCAATTTCTTCCGGAGTTGAATTCTAAGAAGACTGTATCGAAGAAAAGAAAAAGAAAGTCGTTGTCTTAATTGTGTTCACGTCCTTCAAAAACGTGAAATTAGGCATTTTCACATCGCAGTCGTGTGGTGACGGCAAAGAAATGTAAAAAAACTGTAAAGCTGTTGTTTTACCAATCTAAATCTATTGCTTCTTCCGTTGCCTTTGACGTCGTAGTCGTCTGCGTCGTTGCTTGAGCTCCCTCTAATATCTTTGTCTTTATCACCAGTACCAGCGAAAAAGAAAATAACTCCATAATAATCCTATCGGCATCAGAGTACTTTGTGCTATTTTAACGACAGCCATTGATGCAGTAGAACTTGGCTTTGATATTGTGTTTTGTGTACTGTGTATTGTGTTTGAGGTACTTTTTGCTCTTTTAACGTTTGCCATTGATGCAGTAGAACTTGGCTTTGATATTGTGTTTTGTGTATTGTGTATTGTGTTTGTGGTACTTTGCGTCGGAAAAGGGCTGCACGATGATTCCATAAACAGCGTTAATGACGACGACGATGATGATAATGACGATGACTTCACTGATGGTGAAAGCGCTATAAAACGAAAAGATGTATGTCGTCATCTGATACCGTAAAATTCCGAAAATAAGCCCCACCCCAAACGCGTAACACAAAAAACCCTCCGTTAAATTGCCCCTCCAAATATAAGTCCCCGAGGGCTTGTACTTGGAAATTAAAAAATAAAATAAAACAAAGCAAAAACTTTATTTACAGTAACATATAAATTTTTGCATTTGCCAAAGAATTATTACGTGTGCCAAATGACTGCATTCTAAAAATTTCACAGTATATTTCTGTTTGCGTCGCTCACTCTTAACTCTTGGCTTGGAATTCCTCGTTCCATATAGACAAGGTACTTGCATGGCTGAGATTTAGTAAGATCTACGTCGTCAAGGCGAGTTTCAGTAAAAACTTTGTGCAAATTACTGACATAAATTTCCTATAAACTATAAGGTAGCCCAATCGATTTTGAGACGTAAATTTCCCTTCCAGTAAAAGCCTAGCCGAATTTGAGACGCAAATTTCCCTCCGTATTTCAGCCCCTCCGAATATAAGCCCCTCCAAAAATAAGCCCCTCAAAAAGGGCCTTTTGAAAAATATAACCCCTGGGGCTTACTTTCGGAATTTTACGGTATTCTGAGTTGTTATAACTAGCCTTAGACGTTTTCCGGGGGAATAGGGAATAGGAAAAAATACAATTTGCTAATGCTATGTGCACAAGTCAATGGGAGAGGTGGGGGGGGGGGGGGGTTGTTTGTGGCCATTTGCCACAGTATGGCGGCAGGCAA